AGTATTATTTTTATTATTTTTTTATGTGAAATGAATTTTACATGAAAAATACAAAAAATATAGAAAAACTTAAACAACTTTCAAGTGTATAAATGTAGTCTTGATATGTAATGTGGAAAAATTGTAGATTAAATAAATCTGTTATGGTTAAAATTGTATGTTAAATTTTCATTTACATCAATTTGTACATATAGGTGAATTTTTTTTATATGGTAGATAGAATATAAATAGATTACTTTTTAAGAAATATTGTAGTTTTTTATATCATTTTAGATGTAGAAATGATAATTTGAAAAAAATAACAATAGAATTGTATGCGTTTTCAGAAATATCAAGTAACATAAAAAATAATTTATTTTTTATTGAATTTTTTTATATTACAAAATACGTATTAAGAATTTGATTGATCAAGAAGAATTCAAATAATGTGAATAATACCAAAATATTGATACATAAATCAGATTTCAAAATTATATGTAATCAAATTTTTAGATCTGAAATTGTACTTTATATTTGAAAACTTTGCATTAAAAGTCAAATTGAAATAAAAACTATGTCATAAGCTTAATATTTAAAGAAAAAATTCTGATTTTAGTAAAGAGATACATCTAACTTTGAAAAAGTTTAAATTTATGAGATTTATCATTGTATTCAAATGAAAATGTATTCCATCTAATTTTTAAAAACTGAATCATGTAAAATTTACTATTTAGCTTAATAATATTGAATATGTATATATATATATATATATATTATCATTATTATGTGTTGAAATTTAGATTTTGGTATTTGTATTAACATGTTTCAAAAGACTTTGTTAAACTTGAATTTTGAAGAAAATTACAATGAAGCGAAAGTGGTGCTATATTTCTTTTACTTCTTTTTTTCCAAGATAAATTAATGATACATTTGGAGTTTTTGGATTATGATTAGGTTTACACCACAAATTAAACATACTGTGCAGTAAAACAAACGGCACCAGCGGAGCTTCAAAAAAAAAAGAAAAAAGGAAGAAAACTAATGCTTCCAAAGAATAAGGGAAAACTGACAGAAAGGCCTTCAGCTCTCTTCCTCGAGACAAGAGCTTTAGGCCATGCAGAGGTGAAAACATTTGTCCATGAAATCAAGACATGAAAACTTCTTACAAGTTAGTTGGTTATGAGAAGTCCAAATTGTGAAAATCAAAAGTTGGATGACTAACTTTGGATCAAAGGTAATCCAAAAGACTCGATTTTGTTACAACTATAGATTTGATTCCTCAATGGTAAAAAAAGATTTCATCTCCACCACGCAGCATCTTTTCTTGTCTTACGATCATAACATGAAAGTAAATAAGATATGGGTTGGTATGAATACCCAAAGCAGTATTATCTCCTTCAACTAGAGAGATAATGTGCAGAGGTTGCAAAAGAATTTGAGATTAGAAGAGACAAGTAAGGACAGGAAATAGAAATGACAATTGAATAGTAATTTTTTGTCTTGTTTATTTGATCTTTCAATCAATATGATTCATGTAGTCAAAGAAAAATGACTGAAAATTGAAAATTTTTTACCGTAATATGAAAGAAGATTTGGAAGCAATATTAGAAACTACTCAGAGCCTTGTCAAAACAACGATGGACTATGTACAAAAAATGAATATGTTAAGGTTTTGGTTGTCATTTCATATTATAGAAAATCTTTGACTAGACATTGGAGAACTTCAACCCTTAGAAGTTAACCAATTGATCGAAGATGGGAGGATGGAGATAATGAAAGATCTGAAACAACATAGAACTTCAAAATCCTTCAGGGTACATCTACTTTTAATTCCGCAAAAATCCTCCCGGTTCAAAACATTGTATCTAACTGTACTGTGATACAAATGTATCAGATAGATGTTTGAATCTAGAACATGATTCCAAAATATCTAGAAGAAAAGATAAATTTGTATAGCAACTAGTGTTGCAGGTCAAGATCTAGCTATGACTGCAAGGTTCAAAATATATCAAGGTCGAGGTCACACAAGGTGCAACCACTGAATCATCACAAGTTTCAATTTCAAACCTTCAATTGATAACGAATGGAGATCGTGTAGATAATTATGCATCCACTATGTATTTCAAAGACTTTGATATATAATCAGAGAATGAATTCCATGCTCTTTGAGTTTTTAGTTCTTTAATCATTAGAATTGTTTTATTTATTCAATTTAGTATTGTTTGAAACATGTCCATGTTTTAAACAAGTTTTGAGTGAAATAACAAAGCAAGGTATGAATGACTTTAATGCAATGACGTGAAGTGATCTGTACTTCTATAGATTTTGCTTAGGCTACAAACCGCAGCCTTGTATTTCTGTTGTCACAAACTCATGTGCGCGCAACCATTTGTAGATATTGAACAATATCTATCATTCAGTTATACAACAGTGCTTGATGGCTACATATAGCCGAAAAGGATCCACTACTTACTCAAGGAAAGTATACATGTTGTATTAATATATCGTGCATATACTAAACTGACGTTCAAATTTTAGTCCATAATTTGATTTTGAATATAATTTTGGCTGAATTCTGAATTTAGTTACATATCACACTAAGAAATTTGATGATCAAATCAGCAAGAATATTCAATAGGAATAAATTTCAGAGAGATTCCATTTGATCAAAATTGGAGAGACTCTGCCATACTTCAAAAAAATTGGATAATAGATTAGCATTAGATCCTATATCGTATTTCATGCAAGTAGATGTTGACTTCAGACTTAATTCCATTCTACAATATTAGATTACGGATTCTTTCCAGGACACAGCTTTATTAGCCATTGCATGATATTTTCACATTTACGTTGGTTTTATATTCTGGCATGTGGTTTCTTTTGTTTCAGTTTGTCTTATTAGCGTCACAGCTTTCCAAGCTGCGCTCCCTCGCTGCCTGTATTTTGGCTACTGCTTGGCCTCGCTTGGAAGCATATTCCATAGGTTATGAGTAAAGGAAGTGTATCTTGGTAGGTTCTTTCCGGCCTTCTGGCCTAGGTTAGGTGGTACGTCCCTACAGGGGCGACTTGCCCCTATTCCACTTCCAACTGGTGACTTTGGTGGTCAGGCGGTTGTTCCCCTTAGCCTTACATCTGCTTACTCGAAATAAATTCATCATGGAAAGTGACAAAAAAGAATGACTACTGAATACCATTCTGACAGACGTTCTCACTAATTAATTGCACTTGCCCTCATGGGAAGTTTGCCTCCGTGGAGGCTCTTCGCGTTCTTCTCTCTCCACGGATATCATCCCATATGTGCCCATTTTCTATTAGAGACCTGGAGTAATTTCAAATTTAGGAATCGAATCTTATAGTATAAACACTTGAACGACTTGAACATTATGATACTTAATTGTATGATGATGAGAATCTTGGAACTGTCGCTGTTTAGTCTTGCATGGAAAATGAATCACGACTCAGTACATGGGTAATCATCGTGTAATTTCACTTGTACAAGTCAATAATTGTACCACCGTGCTTTCTTGGCTTTAGACTAGCAGAAGATGTTCTCCCTCATATCATTAGTTAGGCGATTTGACTAAATCTTCAACTCAGAAACTGCCCAGAGGTATACTCTGTAGATCAGAATGTTTTGGTGTCAGTTCATTCAATGTGGTCACCAATCAATCCTCTTGCAATCCACGGACCCTGGGGGGCTTCCGATTGGGATTCACAAGAGGAGGCATCACCTCCATCCAGAGTAGACTGGTGCAGACAGAGTCACATACACGCAAACTCTCATTCAAGTAACACCCCACCTCATTCCACCAAAGTGCATACCTACATGCTTACTGCCCCAGTTGAAACAACTATAATATCATGTTACTCACTGATATGCACGGATCGACGACATGACTGTATATAGTGGGGAAATAACATGACTGCTGGTTCACAGAAGGACAGAAGATGTACTCAACTTCCTCGAAGAGCGAGAATTCAACGCCGAACTTGGATGTTCATAACAGATCACCCGACCACCAGCGTTTACGACGACTTCATTCACTTGCTCTGTTAATACGACTTTCAGACCTTCGGACGTCCATGCATGCATCCAACCGGCAAGTTGTGAATGCAAAGTTTCTCAGGATGCACATTCGAAGGGTTTGGAATGGCGTGCCCTTCAAGCCTCAAGTGAATGTAGATGTAGATGTAGATGGCCCTTGATAAAGATCCCGAGTCGCAGCACTGCAGAATGCTACCGAAACGGTTGTCTCCGTCCCTATTCTTGGAATGCGCATGTACAGTATTAGTGCATCAGATTACCTTGCTTTTGCGACTACAGTCGTTGGGGGTGATGTATAGATGTGATAGATGGGTCAAAGGAGAAGGGTGCTCATGGCCCGTTGTGGGAGGACATACGAGATAAGATAGTCCCAGAACCCACAGTGCCTGAAAACAATATTCCACAGTGCAGGGGGAGGGAGGGTAGACCATGGAGCTTTGTCTCGGCAGGTGCCGTCTAGATCTGAAGAGTTTCGTTCTTGGTAAAAATTCAGACTCCTGGCGTCCACCTTATTCTCAAACTCAGGTCTAATCTCCACCGGGCAGGCATTTCTTGGAGTTGTGATCGTGGAGCATGATCGGCTAACAAACAGTGCCCATATTTTATTTGATTTTACCCTCCCTTTACTTTGTTGTAACATATGCCTAGGGTGGAAGAGAGCAGTTAAAAACAGTGAACTCCACAGTCTTTAACGACGTTTGAGATGCTTGGTCTCTCGTTGTTCCCCGAGGGAGTAGCGTTCAGGAGAGAAGGAAGTGGAAGGTTCCAACGGGCTGGACCTACATACTCAGACGACTAGGGAATTTATACAAACTAACTGAATGCACCAGAACACACTTATCTAAGGGATGGGAAGTATGATGCTCCATGTCGTTCTACCGTGTAAAAGTGCACCAGAAATGTCTCCTTTTGGAATCTGATTCTTGGACGCACTTTTACGATTCTGACATTTTGGCGAATGCAGATTTGTGAAGCCAGTATACGACCACTGCCATAACGGAAAGAAAGAGAAAGAGAGAAAGAGAGAAAGAGCCCACAATCTTGATAGGAGGAGGAGGGCGAACAGGAATAAGATAATGCCTTGCTTTACCAAATAGGAGGAAAGTGCACTCTTCCACAAAGCAAGAGGAAGAGCAAGAAAGGCTTTTAGGTAATTAATTGATAAAGAAGCAGAGAGCGCATCTCAGATTTACTAATGATTTTCCCGAAAGCAGACAGAGTGCGGAAGTTTGTAAGCTTCCCAGCGGGATTTGTTTGTACATCGGACGGAGCGAGAGGTGAGAGCTTTCTTGGAGAGCTAGAAGATACTTTCCAGTGCAACTTGCCTTTACAACGACGTGCTTGTGCTGAGGTAGGAGGGGGATCGTATGCTGACATAAGGCGATGGGAGATGGGAGTTTGAACTCTCTTCTGCACGGTGGGGTGGGTTGTTCCGACTAGCATAGAATAGCATCACTCTTGATCAGATCGAGATCAGCAGCTACGGCACAGACGGTAGTGAGCAGCAGACGTTTAAGAGCGAGTGTGGAGCATAGGCTGGTGAATGGCTAATCTAGACTCGCACCGGTGCAGTCGTCTAGAGTGAGCTAAGAGCGCATGGTATGGTTTGGTGTGGTACTGCGCGCACGATCGGCATGGCTTCCGCACTTAAATGATCCGGACCAACATGTCACCAGCCCACTTCTCCCGTCGCCCTCCCTTGACAGGCCAGACCAGGCCCAAAAGGCCAATCTTGCATTACACCAATGATAACCTACACCGCGAATACGGTAGACATAGCCAACAACAATGATTTGATTGCGAAAGGCATCAGGCACGACATCGGCTGAGCGCTGCATCAAGACCTTCCGCAGAGATTCGCCTGTGGCGGTCACACTCGATGCAACATAAACCGTGCGAGCGAGAACATATCATGTCATCGAAGCTCTTTCTGCGCTCGCGAGAGAGCGAGAGCGAGCGAGAGAGAAATGCCGCACGTGAATGAGTACTTCACAAACCATGACATTGACATCATCCGGACCGCGGAATGGAATGATGGATGGAGGGAAGGACGGAAGGACGGAGGACGGACGGACGGAAATAGGTTAGGTGAGGTACCGCGTAGAGGGTTGAAGAGGCAGACGGTAATATCGACCATTTGAAACTCGAAGGTCGAAGCTAAACTCGGATTTTGAACTCTTCTCGCATTCGGAAACAGGTGAGACCAGTATGGAGCGTGTACCGCGCCTGCAGCCAACCACTCAAATTCCAGATATTTGTGCCGATATTAGAGGTGGTGCCAGTCATAGCCTTTGCCTTTTGACCGGAGCCGGAGCCCTGGCTCTGAATGGCGGTGCTAATACCAGGGGGCATCTGCGTACAAGGCGGTGTCGAGGATCTCTCTACCGTAGGGGACTTGATTCTTCGACATTCGGTCCCGATTCGGATATCGGCTTTGCTTCGGAGCTGGAGATGAAGATGGTGTACTTTTCGACCACCCGACAAAGGACAAAGTTTGTTTCTTCCTCCCACCACCTCCCTATCCTTCGCTCTCCTTGCCTCCCTCCCTCCCTCAAGGCCTCCCTCGCTCGCTCCCTCCATTCGAGCCTCGGACTACATGTACGCTTTTCAAGACTCAGGCGGGTCACTTCATTAATACCGTTGCCTGTTCAGAAGAACACACGTGACGCCAGTGAGCATATCTTCCGTGAAGGGCGAGATGACACCTTGTTTCGGTATACATCGCGCGATCAATTCTTGCAGATGGAGTCAAATAGTGTTTGTACTTCGGCACATGGTTCGCTCTGAGGCACTGACTCGCGCAAGAAATTGGGCTCTGAGGAAACTGGCATGTCATGAACAATAGACCAATGCCCGGCAGGAATCTGGTCCTGGTGGATAATTCACGCCTTCCGGATTTGTCTGAAGTGAGGCACGGGAAGGCAAATTTTCCAATCATCTAATTCGTCGCATCAGTTTTCATTGTTTATATTCTCGAGAGATGAACTGTGCAGATGTACTTCAACTACCATATGTGCTGTAGAGCTCTGTCTCTCTCCCACAGTGTGAAGACCTGTAGCGAACATTCGTGCTGACATTTAGCACCAGGTCCGAAAGAACATAAATAGAAAGCCAGGTTTGTGGCTCGAGCTGATGCCTTTCTTACTTTGTCACACTCCTTGGTCTGCACTTCAAAATGAAAGAGCTCGCCACTCTTTCATCAAATCCAGTTTTTGTACAAGCGGAGGAGGAGGACTGAAGGTAGAGTTGCGCAGACCCTGTTCCTTCTTCCTTCAAGTGTAGAACGTGAAACAAGATCTTTTATACGTAATTTTAGACAACCACTTAAGTATGTATTGTTGACAGCCTTCGTATGGAAATTCATATCATTCCTATCATCCGATGGAAGACCTCGAGGATTGATAGGCAGAGAAGGTTCCGACAGTTATTTGGGAACGCTCATGGTTCATTTTCTGGACATACAGAATTACAACCCGTTAAATATTTTGCCGGTATAGCATCTACGGTACTGCTCAAGATGCAGTCCACTCGGGCTCCCTGTAATTCGTGCTCTGTTCTTATGGTGCGCTGTGTTACTGGTGCAATATCCTGACACTTCCAACCTACCATCCATGGTCCAAAGGTTCGTTATATTTTGCTGTAGTTCGGTCTTCCCTTCAATCTCTGTCGCCAATACGGGTTTTGGTCAAGTTTTTCAACCTCCAAACCGTGAACACTCTCTTCGACACTCTTGGCATATACCTTCTGGCAACAGGCTCGACTTTTGTAAGCCCAGCACTTCGTAAACACTGTAGTTCCCCCGACCGTCCGAATCGTGACCAATCACTTCTCTAACGCCACTGGCAAAAAGATGAGTGCGTACGGGATCCACGGACGAGCCATCAGTCAGCATGACGCTGCAGATGCAGCTGTGGCACATATAGACACCTTTTCCGCCAGTAAATTTTCACATTCGACTTGCTACTTTCGGACTGGGAGGACGACGACGACTGCTTGCGCTAGACCCAAACTCAACGTTCCTACCTCGCACCTTCTCACAAAGGCTTGATGCTGACTGACACGCTCAACAGACAATTGTACAAATTTTGCAACGATTTTAACAAGTTTGAATAAGATTCAGTGCATTTCCTTAGGGAGATTATGTTCCTCGCGTACATTCTACCGCTCCTACCGATACCGAAGACCGAAGGACACGTGAGTCGAAGTGTTTGTTCATGACCAACTCTCACATTCCACCTCCGTAACCGCTGTCTGGAATTCACACACTCGCTAAGCAGAACCAACCGAGAAAAGCGACTCATATGCTGAATGTCTAAAGCAAATGAGTCGCATAATTTAATATATAGCAAGAATTTACAAGAATGATCAACAGTTCTTCTGTCATTTGCCTCTGACCAAAGAAGGTGAACTCTCCATCGTAAGGCATATACATGTATATATATGCTTCCTGTGCGATAGTTTGCGAGCTTCGATATGTAGATAAAGTAAAAATGCATACTCTTCTTTCTTAAAGCTTTGCAGGTTTGGGGAAAATATCTGGCGTAAACTTCTGGGCAGCACCCATGCTCCCCTTGATTTTCATTTTACCCCTGGACAACGGACAAATTTGCCGGAGTGAGCATATGTTCATATTATCGCAAGGTATATCCCAAATACACACTAAAACGCACCCTGCAAAGTCCTCACTGCCCACAGACATATATTGCTGCATAATCCTTCTCTGGAAATATGACAGGAATTTCTTAGTCCAATGCAAAATGCAAGACGCCTCGACTCACACCTGATAAAAGCCATTTGCGGGTTCAGTTTCCCTGAGGCAACTGACAGAAAGTCTCCGTCAACGAATGAGAAAGTAGCGTCTGGCTTCCCGTCACAAGGTCCTGCAAGGTAACGGCCAGAGAGGACAGAAGTCAATCCTCGTCATAATAGACGTAGAAACATCGAGAGCCTTCATGCAATATCAAGGTTATTTCCAGTCCCGAAGAGCAAGCTTAACGTTTCAACAACACGATGTTAAAAGTATTCAGTCAGGTGGAGAAAAATAGAAGTTTGAATTCTTGAGTAGTTAGATATTTTCAAATTACAAATTCAAACTTCCAATCATTCTTCAATTCGACGCCGTCTCCAAGGCCTAATGTCGTAGATTCAAATCCTACCAAGCGAGAATTTTTTATTGAAATAAGTAAAAATCTCCATTTATAAGGAGGTTTTAAAAACAAAAATGGACTTTTCAATTAAATCTTTCAGTGATCACCACCAAGACGATATTGCAGATACACCTTAGCCAAAAGTATATAACCGAGGCGTCAAATTTCTCATCACATGTCATCTCTTTAGAGAGCAAGACCGATTGAAATTTGTAATACTTTGAAGTGACCCTAGTTTTTAAAAAGAGGAACCTTATTACGTGGATCAACATGGAACAGTATGGACCATTATCAACCATGGAACAGCATCTGAGAACCTATAAAAACACAAAACCCACCACTGCGCGAGTACATCCATTACATTCAGAACTATGGCACAAACGCAGATGCAATGTATATAACTACCATACAAAACGTGCTCTACACCGTTTTGTATAAAAATCTCCATGACAATTGTAGGGAACACAGAATACATACTACCATGTACATATTCCAGGCTTCATCACAATGCATATAAATTCCTACGCACCGTACGAAATTCAAAATAAAACATTTGTCGCAAGAAGACTGATCCACGCTGATGACGAAAGAGGAAACAGTGCGAGAAATGAAGAAGAATTTGAAGTGTTGACATGTTTATACATCTCAAAACGCACAGAAAGTAGTACATTTTGTTACTAGTTATTATTCATTGACCTGGCCTTTCTACAGTTTGGTGTAGGAGATGGTACTTACCCTTGTAGACCTTCAAGTTTTTTAAGTCCACCACAAACATTTCCTCCTGAAATCCAATTTTCTGCCATCAACCAGCAAATCAACCCGACGACGTCAGAACGTTCTGTGTACCGGAGTGCTTCAACTCTCTCCAAGTATCACAATAACATCATTGCGAACTATTTCTGGTACAAATACGGGCAGAAGCCATATAGTCTCAACCTATGGTGCCCCAGCTTGTATGCCTTCAAACGCCTTAAAACAAGCGAAGGAAGAAGAGAAGATTCACTGCATGCGATATCAAGATCTTGCCCGGGATTCATAGTTCATTTTCATCAGATGCTATGATGTGCAGACTACTTCGTAACCTGTGCATGGGTGCGTAGACACGAAAAATGGCAGCAGATACATGAACGGAGTAGACGAGAACCATGCACTTATTGGCCAGCGAGTCCACAAGTTACGACTAGCAACATTAGGTTTACAACTTCCACAGGCATTTCGCTGCATCAAATTTAGACACCACACAAATTACATCCCCTGATTTCGCTGATGAAAGGCATACTCTACTACTATCTTCGCCCAGAACTCATCCAAGCTGAACCGGAAAAATGAGGTGCCTAAAGAATGTGAAGAGTTTACATAAAAAGACTGCACAGAGACATTCCGTGTCGGGCAGCGTGGGCAAAACCAGCTTCGGCTATTTTATAAAATTCTATAATCATCGATGTCACGAGTGATTCGGTTAGAGCGACGAGGGCATAACCAGCAGCAAAATTATCAACTTCTCATCTAAGAGAAATCATAGGCGATCATGCTAGCTCTTTGACCGCCGAACATCAACACAAATGGCTATGAATAAGTCCATGCATGTGCTAATCCCTTGGGATGAACAGAGAAATTCGCAAATAAAAGCCCACCTACGGTAATCTTCTATGTGTCTGTAAACTATTGGAATGAGATGAAGACGGCGTTCGTAGAAGACAACAGACATGGCTGTGAACCTTACCCTTCCTTCCGATTATCAAATATGCAAAACATTCAGCAAGATATCCCCTTGAAGATTACGCACCGGAATGTCTTTTGAGGAAAAGCTGATTAGAGGGCAATCTTCAATTCTGGAGGACTCCCGAGGAAGGAAGGAAGGAAGGAAGGAAGAGTGTGAATTACAGAAACCCAGGCGGCCAATCGGACACTGCCCAGGTAGGTGAGTGTGATATACATGAAAATGTCAAGAGCACCGGTGCCCTTTCCCCTCAGGACGCTACAAATATCTGCTTACGAGAGCTAAAAAATAGTCACCATCTCAATTGTCCCTCATTTTTGCCTATCTGTAGGAAATTATCTCACGCTCATCTGTAAGAAATAAACTCGAAACAAAAACAAAACCCACCTTGGGAGCAACGTTGATCTGATACACAAGTCCAACTTTCTCCTTCAACTTCTTTCCTTCATCAGTCGTCAAGTGACCTTTCATCATATCCATCAACGCAGCAGACTTCAAAGTTGAACTGTCGGCGAAGTTCTGACCTGCCTCCGCCATGATGCCAAAGAAGGACAAATCGATCTGCAAATTCCAGAAATTGGCGCTTTGACAGGCAAGCCCGTGCACAACACAACACAACACGGACAGAGGAAAATAGAGCCTCTTCTGCTCTGCACCGACGAGAAGAATGATCAAAAAGCGAGAGAAATGTAGAGCTTATATTCCATTCGGTCGCGAACGCAAGTATACAAGAAAACGTGGACTGATCATGAGGAAGAGCAGGGGAAGAAGGAAATCATCCAATTCATCGGTTCTGTCGTCTTTCCGTTCCGATCGGCAATGAGCTTTTTTCCCTCTCTCCCGGGGGCGCGTTCTCAAGGCTCGGGCCTCCCGCCGGGACCATATCGGCACAGACTTCCAGCCTCTCAAGAATTATGCGCATTTCCTGTGACGTCGTACTGCTCCCGCCGGGAGTTCTGCTGCGTTCCTTGAGTGTTGATGGGAGTTCCACCACCCACCGCCCCTCCTCTGCATGACACGTAACGGTGGTCTGTTTGCCACTTTATTTCTATACCGAAATTTTCTGGTTTAATACGGCAGCCTGCGAACTTAGACCTCAATCTAGAGCTGGACATGACCAATAAGTGGCCTAGGACTCTGATCCAGCCAGAATATCGAGCATCAATTTTCGGCATTCAAGTGATCTTGCACATGAACGCCGTCTTCATGTTCAAGATGTCCGTCACTTAGTCACAACCCTCGTCTGTTTCTTTGCAGTAAAGGGGATAATGTAAACCCCTTGGAGAATGGTAAAAGACCAACGTGGGGGACCCAAACGTCAAAAGGTTGAAAAACACAGGACAAATTAAAACCTCAAACAAGTAAAAAGATACCAAAGTACTGTCTTCACGAGTGCCAAGAGCATTTGAAAGTTAATTAATAATGTTCATAATATAACAAACTAAATCTAAAGGAACTAAATGTAATAAAGAATAGAAATTCTCCACCTCTATATTATGAGTAAAATATTATTCTTTGTACCTAGATCAAATAACAAATTAATGATTTTTATACTCAATGTCCCATCATCACATAATCTACAAATATGTCTATTCCTATCAATATTAACCCAACTTCCTTACTCAATTCTAAACTTATAAAATCATCTTCTATGCCTAACAATAATATCACTAAGGTAGTAGAGATTCCTACAAGTAGTTAATACTGTTCACAATAAACAAGCATAGGATTCACATGAAATTGATAAAATTGCAACGTGGTGCCGCACTTGCTCCAAATAATGTTCAAAATCTACTACTTTAAACGTTCACGTAGTGCTATAGGTTCCAGGTTTCAATCGCGTTTCGTCACATTCCACCTCAAAGATCAAGTTATCACATCCGCTAACCATCCTTTGACACGTGTGGCACTCAAAGCTTGAAGAGAAAGGCGAGAAGCATCAAGAGATCTCACCATTCTGATGTAAGTGATGATCAAATATAGAGCTTCAGCCTCTAGAATTAAACAATCTGTATCCGCAAGAAGAATAACATATCGAGTTTGGTTTCTCATAGACAATTCTTCTTGTAGAGATATCTTCTACACCCACTCCACATGCTCCCAACATGTCTTCTTACAACCACATCCCCACACTTGGATTCCATATAATACTACTGACAACACTAAGTTTCTGAATAAAAAGTTTATGAAACACCAAGACAATAGATGAGACCTACACAGATTGAATAATGAATACAGAGCTTTGTAGCCACCTTCTACTCTCTTTTGCACGCAAAGTGCCCAACTATAATCATTAGAAAATCAATGACTATAAATTTATAACTCTCCACCTCTTCTAATTGTAGATCCTTGCAATAGAAGGAGAACTTGGATCTAGTGCCCACTATCATGACTTTAGACCTTTCCATATTTACCTCCATCTGATTCTAGGTACGAAAGCTAGCCAAAGTGTATAGGTGAATTTGCAAACTAATTGCATTATGTGCTAGTAATAAGATATCATCTGCATACAAGAGAGCTTTGATAACAAAGATTCCAAGCTTGACATCTTCACTGTCACATGTTCAACCACTTTTTGATACCATCTATAATAACTCCAAATAGAGTAAGAGAGAGAGTACAACCTTGAATCATTCAAATGGTACTCAAAATCTCTTTAGTTTGATAAGTGTTGATCTTGGCTTGAACAGAATGGTATAACGTGGCCACAATTGTAAGATTATCTGATGGTACTACAATGACTTGCAAACTTTCCCATAGCTCACGAAGTACAATGTCAAAAGTTTATTTTTAATCAATGAAGACACAAAACAAAGCTATTCCAATGCCATTCGACTTCTTTCATAAAACACGCAAGGCCAAGATATGGTTAATGATGTTGTATGTTGGACAAAAACTTCCTTGAAACTGCACTCTTTTGCGATGAGATTTAGTCCATGTGCTCAACTTTGACTCCACCAATTTGCCAAACAACTTGGCAAAAACACTACCCATCATGATAGTGTGATAGTTTGTCACCAAATCATTACTTCATAACTTATGAATATGAACTATCTTCCTTAAAGACCAAGTTGAAAAGAAACCATACATAACATCATTCTCTAACGCTTTAGTGAGTATTGGTCCAATAACATCTCCTTACCACTTCAAAAGTTCAATAGATATATCATCCAAATACTCTGATTTACCATTTGCTAATTTTTTGACTTGAATCATCAACTCTAATTCAGAAAATAAGCCAGATATTACTTCACAACAAGGCATTGATGCAGCATCGATAAAGAAATAAAGCTTTTCAGCAAAGCCAATCAAATTATTGGGATCAAGAGCAGGTTTAGAAAACCGTGCTGCTAACCTTCTTCAAAAATATTTGAGATTTTCCTTCAACTCCTTTGTCAAGGATTCTTGCTTCGTACTCAAAAAAACTCGTTTTTTAAACTTCATCAAGTCTTTGTAAAGACTTGTTAAGATAAGACAACTTTGGATATCCAAAGATTTATCAAGTGATTTCATCTTTGCTTGCTTGTAATCAAAGTCAAACCATTCATTGCAAGTAAAATTTCTAGCTCTCCGATCCTTGTGCCGCAAAAAGAACTTAGAAGCAATGTTTTTGAGCAACTCTGTTAGTTGTTCATTCGTTGTATGTGGATAAGGTTCTATGAAGGATGGTTCAAAAGGATTTGAAAATGTAGCATGTAATGCTTTTACTTACTATGATCTAAACTAAACTTGGGAGAAGCTAAAACATAATGACATGGAGAGAAAGAAGTATTGTTTTTACAACAAGATAGTAAATAAGATAGATGCATGATCTGATTCTGGCTGAGGTTCTAGAATATCAAATTTCAAAATAAGAGAACTACCAGTGGCCGAGGATAAAAGATAATCAATAATGCTAACACCTATAGAAAAAAAAACACGTATTGGAAAGGGAGTTGGGAAAAAGAGAGATACCAAAGAGAACTTTCAAATTACATGTGGCTCAAAAAGTTAGAAAATGTTCTGTTAAAGGGTTTGTAGAAGTATCAGAAGAGTTTCTATATCACATACTAACTTCAAGTTTTTCAAAGGAGTAAGAACTCAAGATATCACCAACTTGGGTATATTGTGCACAATGTATTCGAGCATTAAAATCTCCAACAAGAAAAACTTCACCTTTGCCGTGATAATTGAAAATTTCTCCTATAAGTTGATGGAATGAATTACTCCGATTGCAAGTGCATGTGAAGTAGATAGGCATGGACAATGGTGTAAACTAACAAGCAGCCAAATAACTATAAGATACTCTGCCAATCCAAGACGAAGCCAATGATATTGATCTCCAATATTCTAACATTCTAGATGTATCAAAGGAAGAAATTGAGACATAATGATAGTAGCAATACCACCATAGCCTCTTCTTGCTCGTTGACTTCTATGATTCCAAGTGCATCTCACCAAAGTAAAACCTAGTATTTCTCCAATAGTGTTGCTCTCATGTTTCCATTTCTCCACGATGTTGATGATGTCCGTCATCTTCCAAATCAAATCAGCACTCACATACTTCGTTGTAGAATGAACTTTTATATTTCACATTAACAACCTCAAACTCTTGGATTACTAGGTTGATGATTGTCTTTTTCGTTGAATGACAATTGATTGTCCATCAGTGAAATAAGCGAAAAAAATCTTACATTTTGAACTTCTTTGACTTTGAAAACTCATTTCTCCTTGATTCTACTTGTAGAGGTGTAAGATCAAGATCTAACCAAATCCTACATCTTTCGAGAACGGCTTTGTTAGCTTGAGACAATAAGCACTTGCATGGCAAGGGTGCTAAGAGCACGAGGCTCCAGATCAAATTCTAAAAAAGAAGTTTGAAACCAAATGTTAAAAGTTGGAGTATACTGGAGGATTGAGGGTACGAGAAACATCGCAATCTCTTATAGGTATTGATTCTTTTCTTCACCCTAATTTCAATATAAATCGTGATGAAATTGCAAGACGTCGGGGTAAAATGAATATTAATGTAAAATCCCTGCAAGGCGTGTAATATACTGACGTCCAAGTTTTTCGAGAACCATTCATCTCCTTATGTGATTCATATCCTAAACTCAATATCTTTTACGTCAGAAGAATAGGTCTCGCTGGTGTGATTCAATTTTATTCCAAGTACAAACTCCAAAAACATTTCGATATCATCCAAGCTTTCTCGTTGGAACTAATTTCACACCTTTTTTCAGGTTCTAGATGGCAAGCTTTCAATTCGGACTCTCTATATTTTTCTTTGTCTTCTGTGACATAATTGCGCGACCTCCGCTTGCTCTCTTATAACAGTACAGCCTAAAGTTGTTACTGTAACGGGCCTCTTGGTTCCAAATGAGAGCTACGAGAAGAAGTTGATGGTGAGGCCTCATACACTTCAATTTAGCAATCTTATGCTTGGAAACTTGGCAATGAGTTGTGAAACATACCAGTTTTCAATCTGCCCTAGCATGAAGTAAAATACAATAAGTCATATCTTTGCTCGATGCTAGGAGATTGATTTATTCTTGAGTTGATATGACGGGTCGGAACGAATCAGTTTTTGCATTGCACCTTTCTAACCCAAGGAATCTCGTTCTCTCTTAGGTAAACCTCAGCAACGACCGGGGATCCGCAAGTATATGCTTTTGATGTCCAAGTGTGGACTCAAGATGTTGCTCTAGGTTTCAAATGTCGTAGCTCTAGATATACACGTATGGATACATTTCGTCAAGTCAGCGGAGTAGGTGTAAACGATTGTAAAAGAGCTAAAATGGCGATTTTTGTCACTGATCAAAATCCTCAAGCTCCGCTTTGCGACACTACACACCCTTGCTATGCAAGATCAACAGTTTGAGGCATCAGCAGACCGTAAGCATGGATCCTTCTGTTTCACTCACACGCCTACGTTCAGGAATGCAGACCTTCTACGACTATCGAATCGACTAAGTTTGCTGCTTTTTTGTAAAGCCATACGCTTACACGACTATAGTTAACTACGCTCGTCAGGCAACGAGATCTCGCACAACTAAAGTTAGCTACTCAAATGAAGCTTGCAACTCTTGCACGACTACAGCTAGCTGGACCGGTGCAGTTTACGTCGACTAAAAAGTTTGAAGCAAATGACTACTAAAGCTGTATTCTAAAGTGCATGCGCGCAAAAGTGCACGCGATGCGTCAGCTGATTAGCACAGCGCGGCGTCGTCATCACCAATCTCCTCGATATCAAAGCTGTTGTCGTCGCTGTCGATGCCGTCCTGTTCCACATCGTACAGTGCCATGGCAGGGCGACGTGGAATGCGATCCTGCCATTTCTTGTCTAGCAAGACGACGTCTGCAGGATTGGTTTTCATCAGTTTCTTGTTGATCTTGATGAACATGTTGATCTCTACCATGCCAGTACGCATCGCCGACCGTTTCGGAGCGATCACATCGGTCATACAGCCCAGGTCGCACTCGAGTCCGCCCGATGACGACTTGTTAGCGAGAACGGCCAGCGCAACTTGCGAGATACATGACATCTGATTATGCTTTTGTGCATACCATTGGCAAAGGTCAGCAGGTTCAGGCCAGTCGTCCTGGTCAGTAATGGACTGCAGCACGTAAATCTCATCAGCGACAATCTGCGCAGCTGTCGTTGGCGCGCTCGAGGACGAGTTGCTTGACGAGCCTGCTGGCAGCTTTAGCGCGCTGGCAAGCAAATTCATCGCCGTCTTCTGGCGCTTCGGGGCTGATGGCAGCGGCGCCGGTGTGTTTGCTGCCGATTGAACGCGTTGGACGACAATGCTTTGTGCAACGACTGCTGCAAGGTCTTTGATCTTGGTCCAGATGTGCGCCATGACGAACGTATGGTGCTGTGCACTGAGCTCTTGGACGGTCCAGCCACGAGGTACATCCAACGGATCGATCGGCGTCGCCTCGATCAGCTGCATGATGATACGACCGGACGTCATCGGCGGAAACAGGACGCACTGCGCGTCCAGCAGGTAGGAGAACTTGAAATCAGCCGCCGTCGGCACGTCTTTTCCAAGGCACGCCTTGTTGCCACGGAAAGTATAGATTTGATGTGGACGTCGAAGTGCGCGGATTGGGTTGTATCGGTCGAAGTAGCGCTCCGAGAGCGCTTGCAGGGTCAGTGCTCGCGCCATTCGCGTCGTTTCATGGAGATCTGATGCGCGTCGAAACTCGTGAGGCGCCGTTTCAACGCCGAGCCGAACTCGTGTCGGCATCAGCAGCTCGAGCGGAGCATCAGGATTAAGCACGGTTGTGTAAAGATTGTACATCATCATGTACACGTCAATGATTACAAAGACATGCATTGACTGCGCCTTCACTTGGACAGCGCGGATTGGTTCAATAATCGAGTAGAACTCGAGGCATTGAACCTGGTCCTCATCGGTTAGCGGAAAGAAGCGCTGACAGTTGTAGTATGCGAGTTTCAGCGGGTTCCAGCACAGAAGCAATCGCTCCAACACTAATGCAGTTGCAGACTAGCGGTGCTGCGGTGCATTTAGGAGCTTTAAATACACGCTGAACTTGTCAATCATAGCGGCCTCGAACGCGCCCTGGAGGTACTCGGATTTGTTCACGGACTCAATGACCTTCTTGATGGTGCGAAAGAATACGCGAGCCAGCGCATTTTTAGACGCGACGGGATCGATTGCCGTGCCGAACGCATCCGTCAGAGCCAGATGCGATAGGTGAGAGATGCACCACTCCCACCAGGCGTCCATGAGCACCTGCAGCGTCTGTTTTACATCAGAACCGGAATCAGAGACGTTGGTCAGCACGTCACGTCGCACTTCGATGCCGAACTCAGACAAGACGCCTTGCGACCATTGATCTAGGACGGCAGATGCCTTTTCGGCTAAGCGCTTGTCGGTTGTCGGAGCAAATCGACGTACGGCAAGGTTGTAGCCAATGTTAGCTTGACGCCTTGTGTTGAAGCAGACGCGCAACGCTAGGTACTTCTCGTTGCTTGTTTTGCTTTTAATGAGGTCCAAGTTCAACGACATGAATGGGATTGTGTAGTAACGATGCGCCTCAGCAATTTCGGAGACAATCGTGCGATTGACTGTCTCGTACATCTCGACGTGGTGCTTCTGCATGTTGATGGACTTCAACCCACCCGGTCCAACAGGCAGTTGCTTGGCAAGCAGACGCCAACGGTCTGTCTGGAACGCATTGTATGGAATGGACTGCTCGACTGACCATGCCCCAAGCTGAACCTAGCAAAGCAGATGTTGAGAGACATGTCAGTTTGAACGTTGTTAGATAACACATCCGCCAAAAATCGTTCATTAGTGTACCTGAAACCATCGACGCGGGTCTTGCAGGAACGCATCCGATGACAGGTCCATCTGCTCGGCCAAAGCAGCGACTCGGCGATTCTCGGATTGCGTCTTCGAGGACTCAACGCCGTGTTTCGTCTTCAGGTGCTTCGTTGCATTCGATGTGCTCTTCTTAGTACATTTGTTCACAAGCGGGGCGCTGACGTTGTAGCATCTGTCGAGCAGACACATAAAATACTCGCATCCACCAGCGTCTAGGATGCGGATTCCACATTGATTCAACAAGGACGTGCCAGTGCGTGGAGCCTTCTTGATCGTAGCGCCTGCGATGTTGGACGGAAGCCTTGGGTTGTTCATAAACTCAGCGATGCGTTCCTTCACGATGCTAACTTCAGCTGCAACCTCTTCTCCTCCGTCGCCCGACTCATCGATGCGATCGGCGCCGTCCTGGTCGCTCATGACTCCATTGTCGTCATCGGCGAGATCAATTACATCGAGCTCAGAGAAGGCTGCGTCTTCGTTGTCGCCAATGCTTGGGGCGTCGTCGTCAGACATCCGGCTCAGGAGTGGCAGTGACAGCTTGTGAGTTGTGACAGGTATTGATCAGAGTCAAGAGCTGAAGTCACCAATAGCCAAGAGCGAATCGGCAAGCAAAGAGATAGATCGTCACACTTGTGACTTGTGCTAGTGCAAATCTGCGCGCACGTGGACTCAGTCAGCTAAGAAGGTTCCCAGCATCCAAGCGCGCACTTGCGCTCGCTCTCGCAGGAAAATCAAAGCGGAATGTGTAGGCGAGTACCAGTCCTCGCGCACAGCTATAGCTAGCTGCTTTGTATTACAGAGCCATTCGCGCACAACTATAGTTAACTACGATATTTCCGGCCCTTCGTCGTCCACAGCTATAGTTAACTTAGAAATTCTTCAAGGAGTATCGCGCACAACTGCGGCAACTAACGGCCCTTAGCTAACTAAAAGTTGGTTCGCGGAGTTAGTCGTAAAAGGTCTGCAGGAATGGACTAGCATATGTGGCAGCTGAGAATTCTTTGGAGGAATATCTTGTCTACTTCTATCTCATCTGAGGCCATATATGAATATGTCTGATCTACAGGGGAGATTTGATGACATTGCGGCGAGATCTCAACGAAGTGAAAGCCTAAACTATCTAACGAGGATGATCTATTGAGATGGTCTCATACGATCTCTTGTGACATATGCAACGTATGCCATATCACCACGCTATAAGCTTTCGATCTTAAAATCCTAAAACCTATAGGGGGTTAAGTATCTTGCATATCATAAGTGCGTTAAAACAACCAAATAGATGTTTTCTAAATGACTTACTTTCATGGATGAACTTCTCGAAACAATGATGATGACTGAATTCTTGTCGTGGAACAAATTTTATAGTATCCACAAAATGGATCTATAGGTCCGTATGCTCTCATGTTATTGTATAATGTCAAGAGTATTGCCCTCAAAGAACTCACAACTGATCATCCTATTTGCAGCTCAAAGCATCACAAGCGCAGTAGAATCCAATCATCAGAATGTAAATCCACTTCATGTTTAGTTATATAGATATAGATACAACTATCTCTTTTAAATGTACATCCACACATCAATCAAAAGATCACAAAGAGCACAATACAACAAAGCTTCTATTTATTATTACCAAGATTTAAATAGAATTCCTCCTCATCCAAGACACGATAGTAACAAACAGAACTGCCTGTAATCGATACACACATATTATACTATAATCACTTTAATTTTAATAAGAACTTGTACATTATGTGATCGATGTGATTGCTGAGAAAAAACTTTAATAAGACTTCATGATTATATTGAAACTCTGAAGATTTTTCCCCGACAGCTTGCCTCAATATATTCAACAACTGAATCGTTTTTATAATATTTACGTGTTGTAACATTTAAAAATGCTTTCACGCCAAAATACGATAGAGTGCAATTCACGATCACGTCATGACTTCAAATTCTTCTTATGTCTATGTTTATTAGTTTCGTCATAACTGTAGGAGTTTTGAATCATGAACTACACTGCCAGTGCATGGAATCAAAAAGGAATTGACCATGCAAAGTTACCAATAAAAAATCCACTTCCAGGAGTTGACGGTATCGAGTTCACTTTGACATACTAAACATTATTTTCTCCATCGATGAGCAGAAAACTTGTAGTCAGTTTTGCATCCTGGATCTAAAAGCTGAACTACGATGTACATGGGTGTACGACAGGTTAAATAATCAAAGAGTGCGTTTAGAATCTCCAAAGCTCAACGGGTTCAGTTCGAGAGTGGTCGTAGTGATCATAGAGAATGCTTATGTTCCACTGCGATGCCGGGGCTTCTCAAGATCCGTCAGGTAACTAAAGATGAACGATGTTAGATAGTGTTCCGGGTTTTGAAATCTGATGTTTTATCGTCCCACAAATTTCTTTTGTTTACGATTGATGGTCCATCTTCGTAGTGGATGTTCTTGTGTGACATGCCCCTGGAAGTTTGGTTCACACATCCAATAGCTCATATGTAAACATGGTAAATGGTTTGGTTCACACATCCAATAGCTCATATGTAAACATGGCAAATGGTAATTAGATCAAGCCCCTGGACCCAAAGGGTCAAAAGGCTGAAAAACACATTAAAAGTCAAATATGTTCTGAGCCCATAGAAGCCATATTATTTTTTGGTTTAGTTTCGGCCTACATCGTTTCTTCCATATTAAGAAATATATTATCGTCTACAGATCATTATGGAGAAAAAGATGATACTTGGTATTTTGGCCGATCATTCTCAATTTCTTACTATAGAATTCTTAGTAACTTTCCTCGTAAACTGGAGCTACATGTACCTCCGGTGCGAAGCCATAACTACGACAAATTCCAGTGGTGGTGTCTCGGAATGCACCAAAGACGCTGCAGTTCACCCTCAGTGACATGTACACAGCCAAGGGGAAACATTTAGAAAGTTTGCCCCGAAAGCAAATGAGTTCGAAAACAACATATAGAGAAGTGACTCAACCATTGAACCAGCGTCGGTTGGTATTTACTTCATGATTTCGTCAAATACTCCTGCAGTGAAAGGATAAGTTACTCAATGCGGGTAATTTGTGCTTCTGGTGAATGATCAAGTCAGCTTCAGGGCAGAGGTGAGGTTGAGAGAGTTCAGCCTTTCACGTAGGTGTTGGTATTTACTCATTTGTTCGGGTTAACCTGCTATTCATAGTCGTTTGTAGTCGGTTGGCACTGGGGTACTTATACTCATAATGTATCTTATTTAACCCTGCTGTATTATCTATTCGCATTTTGGCTTCCGTTGACGTAGCCCTGACGGGGTGAACCACGTATTTCGCTTCGTATCGTATTGATGCCTTTCTGTTCATGAACATCCGTCTAACTTCTCGTGTAATTCGTGCAGTGACTTCTGTCGTGAGTGTCAGGAAGTACTTGTGAGAGAATGGGAATGACCGAGTAAAAGGCTAGGAGCCACTAGTGTAGGTTCTTTTCTTTGATATTCTTGCATTCCCTCTACATATGGGGAATATGTTTGAATAACCGTCTACTTCTCTGCAGTTAGAACAGATAGTCTATCCGGACAGAAGGTGAAGCTTTTCTCGACCTACGTATGAGTCTTGTCATTTACATACGCTGCTCGTTACTAGGAAAACCATGTCATTACAGAGTTCGGATTAAGGTTCATGGGAATAACTTTTCGAATTGGAAACGTCTCCAGACAGGACAAGATTGTTTATCTCAAAACACTTAACTAAGGATAATTGAGGTTTGTTGTCGTTGGTACTATGCCGATGTGCACGGCTGATGAGCAGCCTAACTGGACAAACATCCCGTGTGCTGTTCGCAAGGTCAATTTGAACTTTCGCATGAATAGGATAGAGAATTGGTCAACACTTTCGGACACACTGAATTCAGTTCACTTTATTTCGAAGTGTGTACATGAACTGAACGGGAGGAGGCAGCGGTGATCAACGCCACTTCTCCAACAAAATCTGACAGTAGCCGAATGTTGCGAACATATACATATAGGGGGCCTGTACACAGGTAGCAACAACCTGCCTACCACTTGTTGCTTTGGAGAAGGTTCGTGGAGCACGCTCGCTATCCTCCATCTATACACAGATCGTTAAATGGGCCATGGCGGCTAATCCAACTTCATCTCACAGTGTAGCGTACTGTACGGTAGGCAAAGGATTATGTTGCGGTTGAACACCTCGCCGTTATATATTTTGAGGACCGGTAGACTGCACACTAACGTAAGGTAGAACATACTACCGAGGTTCGATATTCTTGCTAGTTATCTTCTTTCTTCGGTGCACCAAGAAGAGTGGATATAGCCCTGACGGTCCATTGTAAGTCTTTCTGAATCACAGAGACAGGAGATGTCGGCCTTTGTGTATAATCTGGTTCAGTTTTAAGTGCGCCATTGCTAGCACCCACCTGCAGACCAGAACCAGGTGGAGATGAGTATTGACCACATCATCATGAACATGACCGCCGACGAACTTTCATCATTACTCAGAGTGCATCGTGCTCCCTCGGCATGTTGCAGCCTGACTCGCATCCAGGCATATTCAACAATTACTAGCAATAGAAGAGGGGAATTTGCTAAGTAGATGAACTTGTGTTTATACTCTCTTTATTTTTTTTTCTCAATTTCCTGTCTGGTGACGATGATGCTGACAACATGCACCACGCGCACAAACCTGCAAAAATTCTTTCTTCCACGTTAAAAGTCACCTCTATATTTCTGCGGCAGCCGTATCTTCAACTTCTCCGCTCACCTCCGCGACGGCAGTGGCCACAGCTGCGTCTAGGACGGGAACTTCAGGAACTTCGGCAGCGTCAACTTGTTCCGCTTCATTACCACTCAAAATTTCAATCCCTTTCTCTTCGACTGTTTCCTCGTTTGCGTTCTCTTCATCTGTTGATGCTTCTGCGTCAGCGACAATGGCCGCCACTGCTTCCTGCAGATCGGAGTCTACAGATGCCGTAGCCACACCATTTGCAGATGATGTTGGCTCAGTATATTCTTCGACGATCTCAGTATCTCCAACCACACCAGCCTCTACGGGCTCTGAATCGGCCCACACCTCTGTCACTGTTATATCGGTCTCGTCCTTTATCTCAAATTCCTTGTCCTCACCTGGCTGCCACTCCAGTTCCAGTCTCTTACCCGTCATTACGAACTTCCACTTCACAGTCAGGCCTACTGGAATGCCCTGCAACATGTACGATACAGCGAGCCAAATTCAAGACAAAGTTATTATACAGAGTTGGATGCGAGCCGACAGTGGTCAGACAACGACAACCCATTTTGCAAGAATGATATGAAGACAATAGCAGTGATAAGAACAGCCCAAACTGAGTACTGTGAAGTTTTAGAGCAAGGCACGATCAATGTTCATTACGGTTGTGGCTGTAATCCAGAACAATAGGCAAAGTTAGCGACATCAGAGTTCGCTTCTAGGTGGCAACAGCAGCGCCACAAAATCTGTCACGATCCTGATGTTAGAGCTAGAGTTCGTGACAACTGAACACGACAAAATTCGTTGAAATTTCGTAACAAGAGTAGTGGACTTACCACTTCTGCGGTCCACACATGCCCTTCAGACCACTCCATGGCAACGGCATGGGCAGGATCCCATTCTCCCAATTCCGCTATGTCACCCACCACGTTAAATTGCTGGCCGAAGTGGCACTCTTTCTGCAGAACAAACTTGACGTTGGCCTTAGGACGCGTGTCTGGTGGTCCAAAACGTGTTAGAACCGTTCTACAGGTAAAAATGCGAACGAGGTTTTCACATGAAATTCACGACTCCCTAGTTGCGAAAGAAATGTGGGTTTTGATGCATCTGGCTACAAGACACAAACAAACAAGCAAGGAAATCTGGTCGTTTTGATTTCAAGTTCGAGTTCTCATGTCCTCCCGGTTGGCAACGCATCTTTCAAATACCTCCTACGTCATACGAGTAGCTCCTATGAACAAGATCAGGTGCAGAGGTAGTTGTCAAGTACCTTCGATTGGTGCAACACTTTCTTCGTCCGCAACAGACTCCAGCTGAGCCTCGGGCGCTGGTGAAGTGTCTGAAGATTCAGCTTCGACCTCGAAAGTCAGAAGATCCACGGTCACCTCGTCCTGAAGGCAAGGAATCCTGCCAGTCAGATATGGAAGACCTTTCCTGACCGTCACTGCAGAATCGAAGCCTAATCACACCAGCAATGGCTTTGACTAAATGGCTCAGGAGTCAGATGAGTTCATACCCAAAGAAACTGGGCTCACTTAGATTTCGCACAAGGCATAAGAATATACACAGAACTCCGTCCGGCTAAAGCGTTGGACATCCGCCCGTAATCTACCTGAAAGAGCAGACTGGCATGAAGCAGCACCAGTTACACGCCCTTCTCATTGACTGATTACACATGCTGAAAGCTTTTCAATTGAACGCAAGTCTAGTGTTGCTCGCTTCGGATTGCCCGGCAGTGGCAGTTTCTGTCCACGGACCCTCTAGATACTTCTGTGCTCTCGTTTTCGTACCCAAGACGGGCAGACCTTAATCCGACATCCATCTTTATGAAACTATGATCCTTGTCATCTGTCAACTCTCCAGCGTTTTATAGAAATGGATGCATCGCCGAGATCTCGGAAGCAGTAGCTCGAAAGGAGAGCATAGAGTAGAATGGCATTTGGCGAGCTGCATAGCTGCTGACAGCTAACCATGTGCGAATCCCAAAATATGTTGGGATAATACGAATAAGACCCTACAATTTGCTTAGCTGAACCGACTTGGGTTGAAATCCCACACTCCTTACCCTCCTTCGATAACGATTGTCAGCATACATGGATTGTACGATGAACGAGACTCCTGCGAGACGTGGCTTTCGGCAATTGGTATGATATACGACAGGAGGACAGACCTCCTTCTTCCAAGAAGTTATTTCGTGGATGTCGATTGCAAAGATAATAAATTATAGAACGTTGTTCTTGATGCTGCTCAAGCGACTTGACTACCGGGACATATTAGACAGATCAGACCTCGTTAGGAGAATCAGGAAGCAAGCAGCTGAGTTCTAGCTTGAATTTGAAGAGGGACGAAGAAACTACGGCCACGAGAGCGTAACAAAAGAAACAAGTTTCGAGACCTCTCGCTGATTCGAAACGATGGTCCGAAAGTTGATGAAGTGAACCCTCCCAGTTCGGAAGCTCTATTCTCATTCTTGGTCTGATGAATACAAGTGGTGAGGATCCTGGGAGCGAAGAAATGACCATTACTTTGAATTTGACGCACTTCATTTTAAAACTTACTGTTCGTAGGCACAGAACGTGCAAAGTTGAGTTTTAGTCGCTTGTGAGGGCTGCCTGAAATGACCAGTCAGATACAGGAAAGATACAAATGCCATTGTCATTGGATATACCTCAGTTGCTGCGGAAGCCTTGACCTTGAGTGAGTGCCTTCCAGAAATGCTAGCGAACAGTGTGTGCGATCCTCCAATAGCCCCTCTCTCGGTGGTTCCCCGCGAATTCCACTTTGCAAAGACATTTCGCGACGACGCAGAAATTCTAGGTGCAGCACTTGTCACGCCCAATTTCCCCGTCGGTTCACCAGTGCAGGTTCCAGCAGCCCAACGCACCGCAGGAGGACATGCAGCACCAGCTAGACCAACCAGGGGTTGCATCATTGCTCGCACCACGGCACTGCACACGAATCAGATGAAGGAATAAATACAGGAAGAATCAATTTGGCTAGCTTTGATCTGCGGTTCGATGCAGGTTCACGATCCCAAAAGACATCACTCACCAGCTACTAGTTTACTACTGTCGAGCACTCGGGAGGATTTCCTACGAAACGCAGCTCAACTATCAGTGATGATTATCGCAGAAGCTCATGGTGAGCTGAACGGATCCGCACACTTACCAGAGTAGGAGGACCTGAAGAGTGAGGAGCAGCCGAGACAACACTCAGGCCGCAATTAGAAAATGCAAAGTATCAAAATATCTCTCGCCCTCTCGCTCGGTCGAGAATCGCGCTGCAAGTAAATCAGAGGCTGAGATACGGAATGGCAGGCTGGAAGCAAGACCAAACCGGCTCGACAGAAGATGTGAAGATTCGGTTGCAGATCAGTAACAGCGACGATCACAGATGGTCGAGAAAAAATCGCGAAAGAGAGGCTGGCAGTGCAAGGCAGGCGAGACTTTGGATCTTCCTCTTTCACTTTTTCACCTCCAGGCCCCGTTTCACGCGTCCCAGAAACTCCCAAATTAACCGCGCGGCTTGCCTGACAGCAGCGGATCCGGTCGATGCCGCAAAGTTCCCCGCCTTTCGTCATTCCAAGCACGGGACGGCTCCTCTCCATCTTCAGTCTTCCCTCCGGAGGCCAGTCCGCTGACGTCATTCCTCCATTTGGCACGCTCCCTCCCGTCGGCTCTCTCGCGCCCAACTGCCCATCATCATCTCTCGGGCCTCCCCTGACGATCTGCGTTCGCCGGACAGCATGGTCGCCGAATACATGCACGCCGCATGAGCCAAGAGCCCTTCGCGAGCCCAGCCACCACGTATTGCGTCTGCATGTCGCTTTCTGGTATTTATTCCTCCCTCCCGCCTAACTCTACTACAGTACTACTTCCATTTCATGCACAAATTGTGGGTCCTGTTTTCTGGCATGGGCTTGATGGGGTGCCAGAGCGCTGACTGGACAAGCGTTTCGACGGGGATATCTGCGATCCACACGTGTACACATTCCCGTTCATCGCTCCATCCCGGCACCCAAATATAGAATTCTCGTACTAGCGGGTTGCACAGCCCAACTCCATCAATAATCAGGATAAGGAGAAGCCTGGGAATAATACACCCTCCCGGAATATGGAGCAAAAGAGTTTACAAGGTGCAAGAGAAGCATGGAATTTATACTGTGTTCAAACAAGCCAAATGCCTGGGGACTATCACGGTTCATTTTGGTGTGCATTTTAGCGTCTTGTTGCATTTACTACGGTGAATATTCTATTTCTGAATAGAATGCTCACTACCGATAAAACTCATCACATAAAAAATTTCCTTATCAGTAGATGTGGGTTTTCAAAATTTGTTTGAATTAAATTATGATCACATACACTAAGTAAATTATTACCCAAGCTCAAGGTAGATAATCACTGTACACTAGTAATAATGTATCTGAGCAGATAGTTGATTAAAGGTTACATACAATAATATTGTGTCCCGAGAGAGAATTCAAGAGAATATCACCTAGACGATAAACACACAGCACACAGATTCAGACGTCGACGATACGTGGTTAGCCTCTGGCTACTCCACGTGAGCATAAGGTATCATGAAAAACCGGATACAACGCTCAGGGGGCGAGCTACACTCTCGCCGTCCTGGATCGAAAGAAAAAACCAAAACCTGGATTATAAGAATTACCAGCAGACTACAATTATCCCTAAAAGTCCCTCTATAAGTTCAAAAATATAATCTCGTATTACATGAAGATCATTATTATGAAGAAAATCTTTATTTCACTTTTTCTCGTATAATCTCTAACTTTCACGACCTTTTCATCAATCTTGATGATGTTTGAATCTCAAGCTTATCAAAAAAAATTTGAATGCTCACATCCAACATGTGGTGCATGCAACAAGCTGCATTTCAAGTTTTGATGGTAATAATAGTCATTAGGCAGTATTCTCCCCACTCACAGAATGAATATTCTTTTGTATTATAATATATAATTTTTTGCTTCTAGAAGATTTATCATATTTTCTATGTGCATCAGCACATGCTTACTGCAATACATAGCAAGACCATTTTTTTAAAACTTAACCTATTTATCAACTTTTTATAAACATGATACAAAAAATCATATACCTTCTTCAAAATCTCTAAAAAATCTGTTATGAAAACTAAATTTTTTTCTTTTTTTAAAAAAGATCAATGTTTATACTCTGACATGAATTGACAATATAATAATATGTTCTCGCAACAAAATCCCGTTCATGGCTTCCACCTTAATCTTAAAAATCTTAACCTTAAAAAAAAATTATAATTTTTGTTAACTATAATTAGTATCAGACCTTTTCTCAAAATAAATATGTAAAAGTTTGCAAAAGATGAATTGAAACACATTTCTCGTAAGGTTTAAAAATTTATAAATATAGTTGAAAAATCTTATTTTCTATTTGTATTCTATTTAAATTTATTTTAGCAATATTTTCATTATGTGCACTTTGATACATCAAAGATGCAAATCTGAATTTTTATTGCATATTGAGAAATAGCGTGAATGTTGGGTTGAATTTGATAATAAGAAAATGTAAGCATGAATTTGAAAGTCATTCGTTGATAAGATATTCCAAACCCTTTATGAATCATATCAGACAAATGAGCTCCTTACTGTTATCATTGCTATATCATATGGTTAATATCATTATTATTATTATTATTTAAAAATTATTTTTTCCCCATGTTTTTTCGACATATTTATGTAATCACACAGTCTTTGAACTATTCAAAATAGGAACAACATGAAATATAAAATTGAAAGGTACATATTTTCAAATTGAAACTTAAAAATAAAATTTAATATCTTTTCAGATTTAGATTAAAAAAAGTAAGCAAGTTATATACAAATTGATATATATTTATTCAAAAATTGCATTGAAATGATTTTTCAGATGAAATTGCCATAGTTCAACATAAATATATGAATAAATATATTCAAAAGAAATTGTGTATCTTCACAAGCTTAAAATCAATATATGTGTATAAGAGAATACAAATTCAGAAAAATTTGTAAATGAAATTAAAATCATATTAAAATTTTCGAGCAAATTTTTTAATAACATAAGTATAAAATGAATCATATACATATTTGATTTGTTTTTTTCTAAATCAATTCGAATCTAAAAGCATTGAAACTTTTTATTTCAATATTCACTAGTATATAATATATTTTATTAATCATATTCATTTTGGAATATAAGAGTAAAATATTCACTTTAATCCACTTAAGAACATCAAATGACCAGTAAATTAATTTAGTTTTTATTTTATTATCATAAGGATAATAATTATTTTAAATGGAAAATTTATTCAGCCGTAATATTGAGTCATATCAATCACACTACATTAAATTGAATTATGAAGTTTTTTTTTGTTTAGTTCTCAAGTGTTTTCACATATAAACTTATGTTTCTGGAGGCATGGCTGAGTGGTTAAAACATTAATTTGCTAATTCAATCGAAATATGTAAAGTTATCATATTTACAACAATGACCTTCTTTGATTTTTTTTCAGATAATTAAGCAGCACACATAATTTGATGTTGCAAATGTGCAAATATTTTCAATATAGAAATTTTAAATTTATATACTTATAAATAAATTTACATTTATATTTATATAATGTCTTTGCTTATAAAAAGTATATTTCATCACTCAATACTATATTCTTTTTCAAACATGTTCAAGTCTGAAAATAACATTATTGTACATCATTAGTAGGTTACTATTTTGATTTTGCAAAATCTGAAAATTTTATTCAGAAAATAAATAAAAATAAATACTCAAACTAAATTATGTATTCCACATATATTCGATTTGTAGAAAAACCTGAAGTAAGGATATATTTGATGCTTAATCTATTTACATGCTCACTTTATTGAGTCAATGTGATTAAACAAATAAAGAAATGTATCAATCGTTACATCATGCTCGAATCAATACTGAATATTTCAAATATTTCATTTGGATGTTGAAAATATTGCAAAATTGAACAATAATAACAAAAATATGTATAATATCATTCAAATCACAATCTTATATTTAATGTGTATTGTTATAATATATGAATTTGCTCTGATTGATATATTATTCAAAATAACATATATTCTTTAATTGTATAATGAATAAAAAATTCAATTCATATGTATTAAGTGTTTAAAAAAATCTGATAACTTTATAAGTTATATTATTAAAATTTTTAATTTAACATTTTTATAATAATAAAATTTTAATTTTTAAAATAATAATGAAAATTTAAAAATTTTGATCTCATTATAAAGTCGATTTTTAGAATGTAATTGATAACACATACAGACATTTTTCGTATTTAAAATTATTTATAAAAAATATTATTATATATAATTAAAAAAAATATGTATGATTCATCATAAAAAATAATTTATGATGAATATCTTTAGTTAATTATAATCAAAATATAGATTACTCAATATGAACATAAAACTTTAGATACATTAAACTAATAATTTATGATAAATATCTCTAATAAATTATAACCAAAAAGTAGGTTACTCAATATGGACATAAAACTTTAGATATAATATACTATACTATGTATAATTATCATGTACATGATCTGAATGCTAGGAAGATGGACAAAGCTCAAGTAACGAGTGTGCCAGTTGACAAGCAAGCACTTCGATGGCATGTTAAGTTTATGTGCTATGCCGTCAATTTACTATGGCATTTGGATAGTGGGGATGAGATACTATCTCCTTGAACATGTTGAAAAAGTCAATTAAAGAAATACTATGACAACTTTATGTATCTCTCATCTCTAAAATTTGTGTATCATTTTCAAGTTAAATCTTGAGTAATAGCCAAAAGTCATATCTATACATACTCATTGTTCATTTCAAATTATTTCGATTTTTGATCCAATCTTTGCAATTATATCTTGTACTGCGTAAAGTCAAAGTTCCATTCTTTATTAAATTTTTTATACAAAATTGCAGGATTATCAAAATGATGCTTATTTTATTTTTTAGATAGAATAATAGTCATGCATACATTTTACATGATGGTTATTTATGAGTAAAAATGAATGAGATGAAAATTTGCAGTCATATTCTAGTTCACAAGCATTAATTTTTTACTTATTTTTTTTAGAAAATATGTTTAAATATGATTGAAAAGTAAAATGTAACTAAATATGATGATTTAAAAATTTATCTTTTAATAATATCGTTCCACGTTACAAGAAGTTTCATTATGGGCATTTCTAAATGTGCTATTTCATCATTGACAGACTTGACATACAAATTAAATATTTTTATCTTCTTGAAATGTATACTTAGATTTGATAACCTCAGTTGGTATAGTATTATTTAGCCTCTTGTTTTCTGTTCATTTTCTTTCTTGTAACGCCACGATATGATCTTCCCATCAATTTTATTTATCTAGGTTTATACTACGCATTAGATAATTATTATATCTTTGTATGCGGTACTCACGTTGCCATTTTATTTCCTTTTACCAGCTTTAACTCCGAGTCCTTACAGCTCTTTTCTACAACAACTAGTTTTTGGCGTGTCAGCATTGGGCCACATCGCCTTACGACACACACGCAGCCTCACATTCTACACAAAAACTAAAATGCTAAAGATGATAGGCCCAAGTCAAGCCTGCGTCTCGAAGCGAGTCCGTACCCGAGCATGACTTCGAAGTCGTTTTTTCTGGCCGGGCCACACGTATGGGTATTGCAGCCCTTTCGGAGATGTAGGAACCGCTAAATATGAGGAGGAGGAAGAGAAGAAGTACGGTACAGTGAACTTCCGTGGCTGCTTCCCGCTGCATGGACGCGTGCTACTTTAGTGTTACTGCTATCTGCATAGCCATCCGAAGTTCTAGATTCGAGCCAATGGCAAGTTGGTAATCGAGAGTCTTCATTCCATTATTCACATTCCCATGCATCTTACAAGTCTAGTTAATGGATCGAAGTTCTATTCGAGTGCATGTATAAATCTTGTATGAATCGCGAATTGGACAATCATGTGCAAGAAAACAAACAGAATGCATAGCTCCGTAGTGCAATAGCTTGTGCACCACCTTGTTCTCATTCAACCAGCATTTCGATTTCCGAATCAGTGTCCGCACACAGTTGTCCGAAAGTACGGTTTTACACTCCTTGCCTTCTTCAGCTGTGATTGGCGAATGTCATGGACACGAGCAATTGGATCCTGCCGCGGAGACCGTTCCATAATGCAAGACAGCGCCGTTGTCGTGCGCTGCCGTTGGGAAGCGTATTGTCCATATTGCCATTCAATTTGACACCTCTACTTCAGATCGACACCATTTTTGTTAGGAAGGTACGACGTAAACCACTTTACGGACAGCTCGTTGCCACAAGGCCGAGGCTCCATTTCGTTTCTTCATTTGTTATGTAAATCACACAGCTGTTCTGCTGCGAAAGTCCTTCTTATGGGGAAGAATGGATTGCTGTCATCAAAGAGTTCTTTCAGGTACTGTTGTGTACTGTCCGGGATATGGTCAACAGTTTCTTGTTAGTTCTCTTCGTGTCGTTTAGTTAGTGATGATGTTCAGTTAGTTACGGTTGGAGTCTTGGGAGTCCGGCTGGTAAGAGTGGAAGTGTCCGCTTCCCATGACTTCCCTTCACTGTGTGTCCTTTTCCCACCTCCTTTGTCTCTTCAGGAGCTTAGTAGTGTAGTTTAGGGTGCAATGGCGAGTCGAGGTCCTCGAGCGCGCTACTACCCGGGCGCAAACTCCCTTACTCTTTTCAGCGCGCAGGTACATTTTGCGGGAATGGTGCAAGAAATGACAATGCTTAGGTGTAGATACTGCTTTGGTAATATACTAATTCCTCGTACTCCATGCTTAGAATTCACAGTGTGCTGACAGAACATTTCCCATGCTTTATTAGCGAACGTCTAGGGATCTCTGGAATTATATTTTCCCATTCTGACAGTGTTTGTTCCAAGAGAAGGAGGAAGAGAGTGATGAGGCGGAAGGTTATCATGCTGTATAATTTCCATGCAATTTCAAGCTCCTCATTGTCGTCTCGAATTGTCGACCAGGGAAGCAATCCTCTCGAAGACTGTAAAGTGTACGGTAAAGGCGTTCAGAAGGTCGGGTTTCCGTGTCTTTTTTCTTCTTCTGAATTATGTTAAATAGCGTCAGAAATAATGATAATTATTGACAAAAAATTTGCTTCTAAATTGAAGAAAATTCATCGGTCGGGGTCTTTGTACGCTGACTTCAATGGCTGTGGGTATGTGCCGAGCACAGGTTTATGACCGATCGGTGAAGGGCTATGTCTATAGTATCAGTGGTGGGCTTCAGTCGAAACTGCAACTACCGAAACTTGATAGCAAAGCAGGTCTTTCTCTGTGGATTCAGCCTGTAGACTATATAAAATCATATTTCAGAGTCGTGTCCTTCTAAACTGCACACTGCATCCAAGTAAAGATGTTCAAGGTCCTCAGCGGCTTCCGTAGTCCCTGGAGCATCGGTTGACCTAAGATACAACTGGGTTATGCTTGAGCAGGACTTCAGCTGCTGCATCACTTCTTGGTGTTCCAAGTCTACGTGCCATCTGGGCAGCATTTCTCTGTTGAGCTAAGGTGACCTGACGAGCAAACGCAATCATCGGCTCTGAAAATTTCATTTGCTTTCTAAGCATATCACGCCACCTCAGTATAAGATGTCAATTATGATTACGGTTTACATTTAAAACTCGTCACGATCTCTTGATCACAAAAGTATGTAGTTGGAGCTTTGTAGGTTGAGGGATCAGGACCGACATTTTGGCGCTCTGAAATATCATATCATGAAATTTTTGCTTGTGCTAAGAAGCTAAGTGCTGCGCTTGTTCAGGGTAAGCGATACAAATTACACAAGGAGAAAGATGTATTTCTCAACGTCCTTTAGTGATATCAAAGCTACTCCGCTGCACTGTCAGATACCTATTTCCATGGTGCGGCAAACTTTCCTTCCAACAATCCTTTCATTGATGGTGGTGATGGGCAAAGATGTGGATAGTATATACTATTTTTTCCAATTGATTAAATTTACTCGTTCTTCTTTGCTCTTCATGGAGCAACCGAACGCCATTTATTACTTACTTTTTCAAGATTCCAAACAAGGAGGCTTAGGTTTCCTGGAGGACACGCCAGCCCATTGCTCTACAAACTTAAGACGTGTGGATAATAAAAGAGCAATAACATAAATTATATGAGAAGATGTTCCAAAGTGAATGTGTCTTATATTTATTTACGTCTGAAGAAGAGGAGAGTGGTCGATCTGCCGTGCAGATGAGAGTTCGAGTGCAAGAGTTAGCGTGTCGTTCATTTCTTTTCATTCTACACTGCATTTTTTTTCCTGTTGACTCTTGAAACTTATCGCATTTCACTCTGTTTCATGTTACTTACACCAAGATGAGAAAACGTAATTATATCATGCTTATGGAATTTGCGATATTCTGGGTGTAGAAAAGCTATTTTCTAAGACTGTTGTGGATCAATGTTGTTTACCAAAACGTCGTTCTGTGGCTTGAAAATTATGATTCTCGTAGCTGAAAATGCTTTTGAAGTCATCCATTACTTTCGATTCCTGCTTGAACTCTTCTTACCTGCAGGTCATCCGCAATAAATGGCTTAGTCTGGCATTTCATGTTGCAGATCTCTTCAACAGCTGTTTCAGGGGTGGGGTGAGTTTCCGGTAATTATCTACTGAATCTCTCGGTATGTGTTTCTATTGCTTCCTGATTGATATACAGCTTGTTTTCTTACTTATGTCAGCTGACCGCAAGGTCGGTGGGTAAAGTATCGTCAGCTTGCATAAATCTTCTCTCACGTTTCCTACGTTCGTTTGCAGGTCAATTGACATTATTGTCCTGGGTCCAGTCTGTAAGCTCCGAAAGATTTTCACAATGAGATGTCGTATAACAGAAACATCCCCTCATGGTTATTTGGAGGAAGTTAGCGAAGATTGCTTGCCACAAGAGCATCTATATGCCGTCGGCGTGGACTCTTGCGTTCAGATACTGGACATGGCATCACTTCAGTCAGCAGTGCTTCAAAACGCTGAGTCAAATGTTGAAGGTACTTGATCGTCTCCAGCTATTTTACTAATCAATCTGTTCGTGCACTTAAGAGTTTGCTTGGGTTCTAATCTGAGACTGATTTTCTTGTTCGTCTGTGATTTCTGTCGGCAGATTCACGCCCAGGGCTCGGTCCTGAATCTGGACTAAGTGCACGAAAGGGCGCACACAGCAAGATAGACCACGCTCGCATTGTGCATGTAGCGTTTGGAACGAGGATGCCGCTACCGTTGTCAACCGTTCAGATCAACACCAGCCTTCCTCATGATAACATATGTCCACCTTATCCCAAGGAGCGGAATGGAAGACAGCTGCCTATTGAATCGATATTCTGTGAGCCGAAGCCTGTTGCGAACATGGTATCCCGTGCATTGAGTGCTGCAACCCATCATGAAACTGAAGGACTACGGAGGAAAGTAGACAGTGTGCTTCTAGAATACAAGACAAGGGGAAGTAGAGCAGGCCATGCCAGTTGCGCTGCCCCTTCTGTTGAGGAAAAAGATCCCGCCAATTCTCCACGAACAGGAACTATGGAGGCAGATTCAGCCAACCATGACGCTAACTCTCTATCAGCAATGGAGCCACTTCCTGAACTTCCTCCAAACTGTACCACATCAACCGAGACCCCACTTGGAAATGACTCAACACAGAAGAGACCCGGCAAGGGGCACGGAGCGAAGAAAAGGGAGTCACAAACGTCCTTACCGGCGAAACAACCGCGAAAGGAATCTCAAACGAGAAGTAAAGAGTACAAACCCTCAAGATACATGGACTCGCCTCCTGGAAGCCCACCTTGTGGCTGGGATAGTATGAACGGAGGAAATAAAACGGAAGACAGAGCTTTTAACGCCCACTTTCTTGAGGGATCTTGGATAAATAATCAAACAAGTGAGCCTGTAGAATCAGGTAAACACCATTGCCTGTCGGATGGCCTCAAAGAGAAAATCTTGCTCTCAAAGTCTCGATGTCAAATCGCACGACTTGATAAACAGGAAATGACTCGTGCGATCAATTCAGAAAGGCTGAAGCCTACGAGTGACCGTGACTATCGCCAGATTGCAAGTCCGCGGGGCCGTGACGCTTCCAATAATGTTAACACGGACCCCATGTTTGGGGTGACAGTGAATGGGAGTGATTACCACAAAAATCTCAAAATACCCGATCTCAACAAACATGGTGAACGTAGTGGAGGTCAAAGACGGTCTTCAGACGGTCGTGGGGAGGACTTAGGTGTTCCGCTCTTTATGTTTCGAGGAGACTCACCTGCTGCTGAGATGCCTGGATGGGAGCCTCACTCAGAGTCTGATCTTTTGGGTCTTTTTCCAACATCACTTATGGCCAAGAGTGACTGCAATCTGGTTTCATGTTGCAGCAGTGGAAGGAGCAAGTCTTGATAGAATGCAGTGAGCCGTTTGTTATATTTCGAGAAATGGATAAGGGTTGAGTGTGCTTGTCTTTCTCATGATGGTTTATAACGAAAGAATTTAGTGAGAGTTGTCTTACCTGCTCCACAGCTGTGTAAACTGCACGTAAAGCAGCAGGAAGACCACAATTTCCGTAGACGTGAGCATTCTGAATTCCGAGGATTTGCTTTATGAAGCTTGCCACTATAGAGCGTACTTTACTTTCTCAACGTTTATAATTGTTGCAGAGCTGCCGGAAAAAGACAGTAAGCAAGAAGACAAGCTTTTGTTTGATCCACAAGACGAACTACTCTTCGAGAAGCTTCTCCTGGAGAGCAAAAAGGTATAGGTATTCACTTACAAGCAATTTGTACCTTAAAGCTAACGTATCGTACTGTTCTCGTACGCATTGAATGTTTGTCTGTATTTTAGCAATACAACTGACAAATCTCAGAAATAAGCTCGCATTTTGCTCAGAGCTACGAGCACTCCCCAAAACACGAAAGGACTTTAGCCCAATTCACAAGGAGACATGTCGGATGTGCTTTAAACCCTCCTCTTGACTACTCTGCGCAATCTATAGAAGCTGAGAAACCGGGGCGGAATCATTCCAGAAGCTTAGAGAAGCACGAAATCAGGCACACAAAAAACATAAGTCCTGAACGGTTCCTTCACAGAATGTTCACAGCCAGTTTGTTAACAGGCGACTTGTCCTGAAGCAATTTCCAAAATTTGAATCCAGGATGTGCACAGTTCAGACACATTCATGAATGAGAAGATTACTAAGTCGCTGAGTAAGGGTGCGGCAGATTCGTTGGACTTTGAGAGCGAATCTGATAAAGTCAGAGATGCTCTGGACTTCTCTTTCGAAGAGGCATTGCTCAAGATGAAGGCAAATAGGTGTGTTTCAACTTATCCTTCTTCACTGCAGCAATATACGCGGGTGGTCTGCCTTCCAGCTAGAAGAGCTGACATAACCGATAATTCTGCTGTAGGGTACATAAAGCACGTCTTTCTTGCATACAACATCTAGCATCAATCGTTCCGTGCTACAATCTTACAGTGATCTGCGACCTCTGGGATGTAGGACAAGCGAGAGCTTTGTCTTAGAGCCGGTCAGAAGCGCCTTTGAGATTGATCCGTTGCAAAGCAAAAGATCATGGCAAATATCCGCTGATACCCCCGTGGCCAACCTTCCGACAGGGCAAGCAACGAGTCAGGAGGATGAGGGTAAGTATTTCTGCATAGATAACTAGTGCGATTGTGTAAGTCCGCCATGAGTTGATGACAGTGCCCAACCTCCTGGTTCGATTTTGAGCGTCGTAAATTCCATCGGCTTAACCAGCGTTGGATGGATGTGACAGTCGCAGGACTTGTTGTGAACAAGGGTAGACCGGACGAGGATCTTGATCTTTTGTACGATCCAACATTGGATTGTTACTACGATCCCAAGACCAATCGTTATTATGAGCTTAAGTAAAGCTTTGATATAAAATATAATGAAATATGGGGTAGAAAGTTCATCAGTTACTGCATGTCATGGTCTTCTCTGCCTGCAAAGGGCCGACTAATCATGAGGTATGCCTGACTTAGCGATATGCTAGTTCTGGAGGCAGAGGAGAATGAAAGTTGAACATATCCCGACGTCCAATTGGACCTCGTTGACAATGTGTTCATGGTAGGTGGTGGGAGAATACTTCCGAAAGTGCTGAGTTACCTACCACTCTTACCGAAGACGCTCAAAGATGACTGTCATAGATGAGCAGAAAGCCCAATTGAAATGATCTCTGTCGTGCGAAGAGGTTACCAGCTCCATTGCTTGCAGAACGTTATGAATGAAATAACCCTTAGCGAGAAATTTAGCTCCCCGTAGACGTAAGCGAAGGCAGCTCGTAGGAACCGTCTTGTGAAAGGCGAAAGTTTCTAGATGATGTACAGTTTGTAATCTGAAAGTGACATGTCCGCAGCCTGAGTCAAAGCAGGTGAAGAACGTCCAGAGCCATCATGAAATTACTGTCTTATGCCTGTAATGTATAGCATAGATATTCTAGTTTTCAATGCCTGGATACCAAAACTTAACTTGGAGGAGTTATAACAAATGTAAAATTGATGTTGGATTCTATTGATTTGAATTTGTCCATCTTTCAACCATTGATTTGGTGAAGAGCTCTACTTGCTTGAAGCATCATCTGAAGATGATTGTCCTGAGTTACTCGAAATAGAATCTTGATCATTTAAATGAACCGACTCTCTTTGAAATTCTTCGTTCATTACATCAGAATATATTCATTTTCGCAATACATGTGAACCATATTTTTTCTCAACAAATACTAAAAATCGGAATACAGTTTAATATTTGGTGTATTTTCAAATGTTTAAGAGACATAGTCTAAAAATGAGAAAAATTATGCTTTTTACATTTCCAAATGTATAAGTGTAAAATATGATGTAAGAGTGTGAAAAATTATGCTCTTATGAAATTCAATGGCCTTTTCAGTTCACAAAGAGTATAATTTCTAACTCAACACATCTTTCGAAACTCAAGGTTATAAAATCAAATAACATTATGACATTGGAACTAGATGACATGGTGAGGCTGATGAGTAGATGGTGCTTGGTTGACATACATTTGCCTTCATGTGTTTGCTGCGTGTAGACTTTAGTAGGGAATATCACTTGACATCTTGCTCTAATCAAAGAGTGTATGGTCAATCTTCAGAGGTTGAAGATGGTGCTACGAATCATCGTGATATTCATGATGATGCATTAGTGTTAGAGTTCCTACGTATTAGTATGATGCTAGACACAGTGGATGCCAAAGAGCAAGATCATGTTCTCCCGCGAGCGAAGAGATACCGATTGGAGTGATCACATGTTCTCAAAATGTGGGAGTATGGTAGGGTACGAGTGGTTTCGCATTCAACTCAGAGAGCGCGCATCGTGCGACATGCTCGTGAAGAGTTGAGACATTTTGGAGTGAAGCGTACATACAGTTTACTCCTTTGTCAATATTGGTGGCTAGGTATACATATTCAGGTGCAGTAGTTGGTATCACGTTGCAACTTTGCGATCGGGTGATCGGACATCGTTCAACGCCCCTACACTAGAGTTACATCCATTATCCATCATGGGGTTGGGTTACCGTTGGAGTTTGGACTTTGCTGGACCATTACCTTTGACTCCACGACATCATCCGTATGTGTTGGTCATGGTAGAGCATTTCTCCAAGTGAAGTGAATTGGTGGCGTTACCTGACAAGGCGAGTGAGGGAACAACGTATGCCCTACTTGTCAAGATGTTTAGTCACTTTGGTGCATCAGCTAAGGTGTTGAACGATCAGGGTACAAAGTTTCAGGTCTTGTGCAACAAAACGCTTATTGATCATCGAATCACGTTGCGAGATCATACAGAGTCGGATTTGTTTGACTGAACGTGTTGTACAGACGGTGAAGAAGATGTTGTGCAAGTATGACATACAGAAGGAGCATCTTGGGGACTGGGATATTCAGTTACCATGGCTGGCCATGAGATATTGGTTCAGTCGTCAAACATCCTTGGCTTCCTTCTCACTATATTTTTTTTTGTACGGTCGAGATCCAGATCTGCCGATATCCATTCGTTGTGAGTCTAGCGAGGTGATGAACCTTGATGATCCAAACATGTGAATGAGACTATGTTCTCAACGTGCAAAGCTCTTTCAGAAAGTTATGTCTGCGGCGTTTGAGAATCTTGCGATTGCTCAATTTAAAGATACATTGCGGTACGCAACCATCCGGGGAGGAGTTTATCGATCGTCAGCTATGGGGGCGAATTGTGATACATTTGAGTGTGTACGCTCTCGCATCTTATATATGTGTATGTGAGAACCATGTCAACACTGTAGAGTGTATGACGATATGTATTCGCACGAGATCTAAAATTTATAATAATATATGATGATTTAATGATCTATAATTATAATTAAAGATACTAAAATTAAATTAACAAAGAATAAAACTGACTAAAATTTTTTTATGTTAGTTTACATCAAATATTGAAATAACGTATAAAGCTTAAAAAATATATACACTTACCGTAATTAGTCATTAGGTAATTTCAAGAAAAAATATATTTTGAAATATGTATGATCAAATTTTAATACATAATTTTTTTATTTAATTATATATATATGATATATTGTAGCTTATCTTCATTATTACTTTGTAACTATGTAAGTATATATTTGATCAGATTCATGAATATATATTACATGTGTATGATTGATCTGTGGATATGTAGTTTTATAGGATTCATGTTTACTAGATATGTGTAAAGATTTATGTTTCCTTGTATGTAAATTTTACACCATAATTGATTTTTTGTAAATGACTGACGAGTAAAATTCATAAATGTATGAGAAAATTCATGTGAATGTATCTGGCAAACTTGTGCAAGTTCAATATGGTAAGTTACTATAGTAAGTCTCTCACGAGTTTATTTGTATGAGGTCATCATGCATTGTTTTTACACATGGGAATATTACGCACTATGTGCAAGTATAGACTCCACAATTCTCCATTGGAGAAAATAATAAATGCTCGTTAGACCTAAATAATGTATTTTGATTGAGTAGGAAGTGTAGATTTACTTCACAACCAAGAGAAATTCTTAGGTCAAGCACATAGGGGATTAAATCAACCACATATGTGTGCAAAGGCAAGAGCGTTTACATATATTACATGCATCACATGTACATTTGTCAAGTCATCCTATTTCAGATCAGAAGTACATGAAGCCATTAACGATGTGAATTATGAGGAAATTGAGAATGTGTACATCAAGTATGAAAATTGTAAATCGAAGGTGGTATTTTTTAACGAGAAGAGCCGGTCATTGTTACAGATGTGGTTATCACATATAATCTCTAACTACCTTTATAAGAAAGAGGAAGAGCATTTGGTGCAGATGAGCCAATCATATATCTAACATATGAAATGACAGTCAATATACATTCTTAGATATCGAGCTAGTGGTGGCATCAAGACCATACAGATACTAAAGAAGTCATGCATGCATACCTCTGGAAGAGGATGGAGCTTTTGGAACATGATATGGATTTTAAGGTTAGGAACTTGAAGTGTTTATAGAATGGTAACAGAGCTAAATCTCATATATTAAACTTTATCTGTATGAATATTCTTATATAGGTTATGAGCAATGCAATGAACTTTGCACGAATGAAAAGATAGTGAGACATTTATAATGGCACCTGATTATAAAAGACCCCAACTTTTCACCGAATGTAAAGTTTTAAGCGGAGTAGAAGGTAGCGGAGAGGCTTGCGAGAGTGTCCAGTTCATTCTCTCTGGGCCTTTTAGAACCATCGACTTGTTTAATGCCGGGCCCTCCCCTGTCTCACTGCCAGGTACGAGAGGACTAAAGAAGGCAGTCCACGGAATCAGAGAAAGAAGGAATTGCACGCAGTTTTTGAAACACATGTGCAGGCAGTGGAGAGGCGTACAGGTAGCCAGACGTCGTTCAGTCCGTTCCTGATATTCGGTGGAGCGGGACAGATCCATTTGGTGAATCCTGAAGCTTGAAAGAGAGACAAGAGAGGTGGAGAGAAAGGAGTCGCCAGCCAGAGTGAGGTGTGAATCTGGTGCCCGGATCTCTTGTGTTTGTATCGTGTGTCTGATGGGGAATCGGGGGTGCATGGAGTTTTGTGCCACCAAGTGTGAAGTGCATGTAATTGGACGCGAGGAAACTATGTTTGAGACGAAGTGCGTGTGAATTATGAACGAACTTTGAAGTGGAAGGCGATGAATTAGAGTAGTTTGCGACTAGAGCGAGGCAATTTAAGACTTAATCATTGAAGATGTCAGATTGAAGGTTGGAATTCGCTAGTCTGATGGATCGGCTCCTGGTTGTCGTCCTGATGGGTAATTGCAGCAATGCAAGACTGAACGTCGCAGGTACATTTGAAGTATAGCTATGGTACTTCTCTTGTGAACTATAGAGTAGATAACTCTGTGATTTCCTCTGATTACTCTGAAGAGTTAATATTTTGGATAGTAATTCCCCGTTCCTCTCCGTCTTTCTCCTCAGTTGATGAGTTTGGAGGTCCGTACTACTGTGATGGGTTTTTTTGCTGGATTTTCTTTCTTCTTGTTCCGCAGCGTATATGGTTCAGAGGCGGTAGCAAGCGCAGACCTCTCCTAAGCTGTACATCGATCTACCACGTCAGTTTGATTGAAAGCTCTCGTACACTTAAACTAGTACACAGTCAATGCACATTGAGAGTAATCTGTTTTAAGTGTCGAAACAGCTTGGAAAGATATTTGGAATTTGATACGGCCCTGAAAGACATCATATCGCACTACTGGGGCAAAACACTTGGTAGGGAAGGAACTCAATACCGATCAAGTTTAGCCATGCATTGGCCACTCGGTGGCGGTTTAATAAAGGAATGAGTGCACATCTTCATCAGAGAGGGTTCACAGTTAGAATCATCAGTCATTGTATGAATTAGAGAGGGTTCACAGTTAAGAAACATCAGTCATTGTATGAATTAGTGTTTGTATTTTGTATTTGGAGGAAACCTTCATATGTTCATGTAGGGCCTTGAAGTTGAAAGTTAAATGAATGATCATATATGAAAATATGAAAATATCTAACACAGAAGTCTTTGTTACAAAAAGGCAATTCATCCAGAAGATCCTTTTTGGTGATCACACTGTTTCTTGGTTTTGAATAAAACTAAGAATTAAATATCAAGTTAGTCCATGAGATCTTATTAACCTGCTAGGTTACTGTGGCAGTTCACTTTGATAATTTTATGTAAATTTGAAGTCTCACATTTCTCGCTCTGCACCAGGCAGGGTGGTGGTGGTGAGAAACCGTGCAGTTCACATGCAAACACTGTTAATAGTGACAATTTATAATTCTGAACCTATATTTTATTATCATGACCTTAAACGAGCTCATGTACCTCTTTTCATACTGTAATTATACTGTAATAATAATTACTGTCTTCTGAAAAAAACCATCTAATTTGACATATCTTTGATTGAAGTTGCAATTGTGTATACACAGGTGTCCTCAGAGACTAGTGTTTGGGGACGCTATGGAGATAAGTTGCTGTCTAAGGTGTGCATGAACTATTTTGTGCGACTTATGAACTTTTTTTTAATATATATTTAGTGCGAATCTATGATTTTCAAAATCTTCATGTAATTTATAGAGTTGTCATAAATGATAATACGTCTTCAGTTAAGATTTGTTCTGGACCTCAATTTCTACGGACATTGATTGACAATTTAGTTTGCGTGACGCTATACATGGTATATGATCAATCTGTTGTCCATTCACATCCGTGTGAACATAGATGTCATGTTATTAATAATGTGCTGACATTCCACCACAATCAGTTGTATATAAACAAATCAGCTAAAGTAGAGTTCTGTGTTTATTCTTCCAGGTTTGACTGACATTTCTCGATCAAATTACATAATCGGACGTCACCATGACTTGCTGCAACTTTCAATCATGGATGCCGGTCTTTGCTGGTAAGCTCATCTACCATACTTGTCTGTAAAAAATTGTTGTATTATCAACCTTGAATATTTTTTTCCCTTGTTTATGTAGTTCTTTCTACTAATTGAATTGAAAACATATTACTTATCTTTGCAGTGTTGGTTCTCGTCTCGCGTAGTGCTGCAAGAGCTGCTTTGGTTCCTTTATCAAATTGCTACTCTGTTGCACCGGACACCCATGTTTATGACCTTGTATCCTAAACATAAGGTTTCATGAAAGCATTTGTATGCAAAAAAGGTTTTCACATCTTGTTACATTTACAAGTTGTCAGAGTTTGTAAATGTAAGGTGATTACCAGAAGTTCGTTCGATAGCTTGTCGGCTTTCACAGAGAGTGTGTGATGCATTAAACTGTTCATGTGGCTCCTTGATAAAAGAAATACAGTCAAATTTCTACGGGAAGGAGTTTCAGTTTGTGCAGGTATTTCATATTTGCGTCAAATCAGCAGCTATTTTCCGAATGTCCTTGTTTGTCACTCAAACACAGAAGCAAAATGTTTATTTTGTAGATTTCTGTTTTTTAACAAATAGATGGAATCGCATCCAGCTTTATATCTCCCGTTGCCCAGCGACGGAAATAAGTGGACGTTGGTATTTCCATCTTCTAAAATTTGTTGGTGTACTAATCTATGAGATGTACACTTCTCGATGGATATTGGCACATGGCAGGATACTACAACGTACGTGCTTAGATTTTGCAAAGATTTCCAAGAGAGGACTAACGCGGTAAGATATGAAGTACGATCAATTTTCTAGATAAGCGTGTGGTGTTTGTCATACCAAATTTATGAAGTGTACTGAAGTACACTTCACAAATGGATTCAGGAGATAGAGTTACCACATACTTTACATCTTCACCTCCAGATTCATGATCAAGCTGGTAAATTCCCTGCATGAGTCATAGATTTTTTTTCATTGACTTGTTCTTGTTGTGGATACTGTCGTAGGGTTATGTGAGCTTTGGTTCATACGAATCCGGTCCTACTCTAAGCAGTACACCTACGACCTCTAACTTTATTCAGGTATAACAAAACAAGTCTACTTTATTGTAGGTTGACATCATAAACACTCTCCAACTTGATCACCGATCAACCGTACTTCAAGGACATACATTGATAAATTTTTTTACTTTAGGTTTTTAGTTTGACCAGATGAAATCGTGTTCCTCGTCTTATTCCTGGGTAGCCTGTGGAAAATTTCACGTTTCATAATATGTACAGTTAGTGGAGCAGCAAAAGTTCGTATACTTTGAGAACCATTTCGGAGAATTGATATGCCGCCATTGAGTGCAGGAATACAGACACGGAGATTTGAAAGAGTGTGAAGATTATGGAACTGAGTTCAATGGCCGAGATGCAAAGGTACAATTGTTTGCATTGGGACTTTCTGACTCTATTGTCTCATCTGGCCTGCAGTATGTGGTTGTTGAAAATTCTATTTCAGACTAGTCAAGAAAGGTTTTTAATTCTCTGATCGTGGTTGTGTTGTTAGGTGATTGTTACCTGTGGGAACTGTCCAGGAATGGGACGCTGCCAAGGTAAGAACAAAGTTTATGTTAAAACTCCCTAGCCTCTCCTGGACCAGTAAGTTTTTCGTTCTCACATATAAGACTAAAGTGTATCCAGATGGGGTCTCATTCAGAAAGTGTAATGTCCAGAAACCTGCGTCACTACCTCGGCGTGAGTTAGTCTGTATTGTTATGATGTTGGCATCACTATCACAATAAAGAGTAGTTCAATGCACCACCAGCACTGTGTAGAGGACACGTAAGTGGCGTTCTACATGAAGTCTTTACTACTGAAGATGTCAGAAAAGCGTTTGGTACCGTGCAGAGTCCGCAGGTTGCATATGCAGTGTCACCCTTGAAGCTTCAGCCAAGTCCTGTGTGTAAGTTAGAAACCAATTGAGCTGTCGTTCTCCATGGCTTTGTATTTGCCCATGTTACATCTTCATATGATTCAAATGAATATCATGGGCTCTGTAAAGTTTGTGGGCATGTACGCTCGTAACTCCATTTCAACTCGTACATCTTAATTCAAATTTTCTAAATAATATGTCCTATCTTTATCAAATTATTAAGGGACTTGAAACCGGAGAAGCAGGCTTACCATCAGTAACCAACTTGCACCTTTCGATGTCGCAGAGCCTCTGTTGTCCTTGCTCTTTCTTGTCCAGAACCTGGTCCCAGTGTCGTAGAGGGATTTGCAGTTGGCTTCAGTCCTCGAGGAAAGGAAGTGGTAAGGTGGATCATAAACCGAAGTATGCAATTGCTATTTGGAGTATCTCAGATTTGTCCTCCACCACTGGGAAACCGTATTGCAGGGGTTTTGAAGCACACATATTTGGTTGAATGGGTACATATATGCACATTTTTTAATTGCACATACAAAATATTGGACTGAATCTTATTGTTGGCCGTCTAAGATCAGTTGTTTAAAATCTCAGGTGAGCAATGGGTTTACTCAGTGGGGTTACGAAAATGATGAGCACATTGACTACAGGCAAGTAATCAACGCAAATTTACACTCCTTTGTATCAAAGATACTGCATTCCCTCTTTGTAAGACATAGTTGTAAGATGTGTTTGTGTTTCGTATTCGTCTTACAAAATAGTCATATTCTTACAACCACGGATTTCTCCGTGGCAACCACATCACACTCTTATACATTATACTTCTGAAACCTACATCTGAAAGCCATTTTTTGCAGTTGAGTAGGTTAAATTAATTATATGTTGAGTACTTCCTGTTGCAGCTTTGAAACTTCTCAATCACAAGTGTTCCTGTACTTCACCGCACCAACTGAAGTTTCCAAAAGTATCGGAAAGCCATCATTCTTCGTGAGTTTATTGACTTCCTGTCCTGCCTGAGTACCTTGGACCGATGTCTTTATCACTCAATAGATGTACATTGTTGGAAATATATATATGTTTTTCTATGTTAAATTTACAAACTATTGTATGTCGTCAGGTGGACCCTTCCAAAGGGCTGGACGTTAAACTTTCTGGCACAGCTGCTGCAGGAACTCCACCCACAATTATGACTCCTTCTATATTGCAAGTGGACTGGCTTTGTGAGTGTTCTTAGTGCAACAAATGAATTTTTGGTGTCATGTACGACCTTTTCCTGGTTCAGAGCTCTTGGTTGCTCCTATTGGAACTCAAATATGAAACTGCTCCTTTCTCTAGGTGAATCAACAGACACCTATCTCGTGACCATCGTAGTCCCAGTCCAGGGATATGATCCTATCGAATTCTCTCTGCTGAAGCAATGTGGTAGGTGATCTGGAAAGATATCAGCTGAGGTGTCATCTGCTCACTTCAACTTCGTTAGGCCGATCCCAATTTGATAAGTTATGGAGGCTGTTCTGATTGTATTGTACGATCATCCTACATATATGCAACTGCAAGTTCTATATGGATTCTTTCTGCGATTGGCTCGCCATTTTAATTAAGGCAGTTTCAAAGAGTCGTTTGTTAGCTCCACGTAGTTTATGCGATACTGAGGTCGGTGAGTCCGTAGATTTGGACCAATACAAGTTTCTAAGCAATTGTAATCTTCTTACAACGAATACTAGTTGTCTAACTGCTTTTACTTCAACATTGTGCTATCTTCTGATGTAGAATGGAAGCAGACAAAACAGGAAGTCGGCTCAAGCGGCTGGGCAACATTCGGATGGTTGTCCTGCATGTAAAAAGTTTACCTTAATGATAGTGTTGATTTTTGTAATGAAGTCATAGATGCAGTTCTTGGACTAAATTGATGTAAGCTAAGCAAATGTTTTCACCATGCATAATCTATTATGAGGTTCGCAAAATGTCGGGCGTCAGTTAAATATGACCCGTGGAACGAAACCTTTTCAAGTTCTAAATGGCCATGTTGGTGCTGATGAAATTGTCTGCTTTTGTCAACGTAACTCTGATACACTGATTTTATTCTGCAGCTTCATAATCATGACCACGATATGCTGCAGCGCTGGCTTTTTATACAGAACTCGTGTGGAAAAGAAGGTACAGTTCATCTGGATTTTTTGCCTGAGATGTGACTATGTCAATACTTGTTTTGTCTTATACTCATTGACAAACATTTACAGACCAACAGAGTTATCGTTGCTTATGTGGAGACAAAGCTGTATGGAGATAGCCCAGAAAGAAAACCATTTATTATGAGAAACCTGAGCACAAACTTCGTCGTCCTTAATAAATAACTCTGAACATCTCACCACTGTCTGCAATGTTTTTGCAGCACGGTTTGGAGGCTTTACCTGGTATCGGGATTCTTTCAAGCTGTCTGGACATGGTAATTCGCTGAATTTCAGTGTTTGTCCCGAACTTCTTTTTCATACGATAGGTGGCTTAATACAATATTCTCATCAGTGGTAATTTCCACTCTAAGAGAAACCCTTTTTCAGTTTCAAAATTCTTCTCCTTTATACTTCTTGTCACTCCACAATCTCCCACTCCTTCATTGTTTCTTACAACAAGTACATCTCAGCCACGGTTTAGGGTCTACGGACTGGAGATTATGACAGGCAAATTATTCTTTTATTTGTGGTTGCAGTGCAGCACAGATGGAGGCGACAGTGGCTACAGACGAGCTGATGAGGCAACTACGATTATCGGAGATCGTCCTCTGAGAGATGGAGCCAGTACAAGTACCCGACCTGCACCACGTGGCTTGGATGGAAATTATGGAGCTGTTTAGAGATTGTAAAATTTTGTAAAGCGAGAAAAAGGTTAGTTTTGAACGGTAAAGGCCAATCTGAATATCTTCTGCTAGGTCAGTGAGCAGACAAAATGATGTCAACGCAAAGTGCACTAGTTCTTCTCTCAGAAGGAAATTTTGCGATTGCAGGGAGTGTGCTTGAAGTTATTCACATTCTTTTACCACACAAACGTGTCACAGTTTCTCTTAGGGATGTGCTACGATTTGTTTGTACAGCTCTCACATCATTGGTACGTCAGCCTTGAGATCCGAGATTGAGGAATAGTTGAGCTCGAAGTCAAAACTGTTCTTTAGGAAGGCTTCCATTAAGAATCCTAAAATTACTTCGCATCTTTTGAAGTCTATTCAACATATGCTTATTATTCCACTTTCCTTCAGTCGTATTTTAGTCTTGACATGAGCATTACTGATGGGGAGGCCTTGTGATTGCGACGAAGAACGGGTCTACCCAAAGTCTACAACGGTTTGAAACTCTTGCTTTACCTAGTGTCTATCCTACAAGTAACTCTTATACACGAGTTTAGCTTAGCTCAAATGAGTCCTCCAAATTGCCAACTCTTGATTCATTTCTCCGAAAGTTTCCTTCATGATCCATCTCGATCTATTCTCTTTGAAGTATAGTTTTAGAATGAACTTTACCACTTCGTCAAGATTGACAACACAAAACACACATGTGCTATCATATTTTTGTAATATTCCTCACCAAAGGTTGTGATAACTATGCTCCTAAACATGGCTTCAGGATGATATGCGCAGTGATTTCACAGCATGTGTTGAATCATGGATGTTTTATTGAGTCCCGTCTCAAAACTAACATATTTCGATGGTGACTAGAAGCAAGATAGTTGGAACTCTATATCTCTTCACTTGATCCATAAGTCAGACACCAAATGATAAACTTAATATACTCAACAACATACTTTACTCAGTATAAACTCAAATTAATACAGATTGGTAGAAAAAGTTAAAGACGGTATTGTTAGTAAATAATAGAGAAAGTGAGTGTTGAGAGGGCAAAGTGCAAGCACTGGAAGGGAACAGTCCACAGTATGCATTTAAATGCATATTGTGGAAAGGAAATAAATCACATAGAGTCACCTTATCATTTAGATTATTTTCATGTACACTATTCTACATATCCTTGACTCATCATGTCAATCTAGATTATTTTGGAGAACAATGATTCAAAGTCATAGTAAACAAAATCGTGCCATGGTACCCTTGTAACACTTTATGACTTCTAATGTCTTCAAGATGAAATGCTTGTCAACGACTCTCTTGATTCTAGATACGGTACAACTGAGACCTCCGAAAACTAAGCTATGTGAATTTATTAACAATTATGTAATTTATTCTAACAAATGTTTAAAGACACCAAGCACCCTATTTGATTAAACCTTTCCATAAAAGCTAAACTTTAGCATTTGATCGATCTACAATACGTCTAAGAGTTAACCCAGATTACTTGTAGTTAAACATATTACTATCAATAAATCAATCTCTTGTAGTGGGAAAAGAAAATAAAACTAAATAGATTCCAAGTAATATGATAGTTAAGTTACATATATGCATACGCAGATTAAGAGAAGTTGTTCATAATAACAAGATTTTCACATATAAAAATGTAGAGCAAGTGGAAAGTTATGAATTTGATAGTTCTCATGTGATTATTTTCACTTCAACCACATCAACATTTGATCATTTTTATAGCTACCGAGTATCGTTTGCTCTTTACATAATCCTTAGACAACATCTACAGAAGTAAAAAAAAGTGTACCAACATACTTAGAAAAAATCTGTTAATCTGTATTTTTCTACGATAAATATATATATTTATCGTAGATACATATTCTTCAAAGTTTCATGAAGAATATTTTTTAATCTATCATTGATGTTAGCATTAAATCAAATCTTGGGCCAAAGTCTTATCAGCCTATCTCAACCTAGTTAGAGTTAAGTTTAAGCTTAATCTTAATGAAAGTTAGAACTAGCATTTTTTCTATCCATTTATATATAAAGGCGAACCAAAGCTCCCATTGAACACTTTGTAAGTTTTTATTAAAGACGTTGTTGTTCTCATGGATAGTTTGAGCGTGGCAAACCACGAATTATTTATCGGCGTAATATCCATGTATTTCTCTAGTTCTCTTGGATGTGCATGTGTATTTCTGTAGATTTGTCTCATCTTGATTCTACCATTGATTTTAGAGCAATTGGTAACAATTTGTTTGGTCATGAAGGTGTAGACCGTGACGAGGTTTGAAAGGAGGTATTTTCATAGTGTATCTCCTATTGATGTAGGCGGCGTGAAAAGATTGAGTTGTGGAGTCATACGATTCTTGCTGTAGTTAAAGAAGGATTTTGAAAGCAGAGCCAAGATACATAACAAACCAAGACTTGAAGTGGAATGCGGCCTTAGTTCAAGTAGGAAGATCCTAAATGACTTAAAATTGAAGTACATCACAAGAAGACCTCCCGATTTCCAAAAGTTTCGTTCTTGAGCTTCTAGTTATGTTGATGTTAATCGATCATGATTGTCCTTTCACACACTTTTTGCTCTTGTGTATGACGATAAGGGCGGTTGTAGATCACAAATTTACTTCAAAAACATATCAATGCAAGCAAGTTGTTATGTTAAAAAAAGATATCAACGAGCAAGATTCATTTAGTGGCTTGATAAGTGATCAACGGAAATCATTCAGAAATACAAAATAAAAAACGTTTACGTGCCACTCATTATTATATCCCTCGTTGACATCTAAGACAATATGAATATTGGTTTAGTGTTTGACTAAAAGAGCGACTTTGGGCTAGAGACGTTAGCACTGCTATTGCATTAAGAAAATACTAGCAACTAGTACAGTAATAGTTGCAGATGCAAGAATTTGTTAGAAAAAATTGGGCTCTTTTATTTGATTTGTCATTTTTTATTGCTCTTTAGTGGAAGTAAGGATGTTATTTACCTCCACCTATGTATATAACCTAGCATTTATCATGCGATGTCGTATGATTAGTAGTAAAAAATTAACAAGAAAACATAATAATATGACCATTAACTATGGTGAACGAATATAGTAGTTTCATAGTATATAGACTGGTAGTCTAACAAAGTACCTACCCCAAACCCTGAGTGTTGATTACGCATCTCTTAAATTGCCTCATTGAGAAAGAAGCCAAGAGTAAGAGAGGGAGGTGATGGTTGCTAGGATGAATGGAGAAGAAAAGCAAAGGTGGGAAATTAAATAGAAATTAAATAGAAAACAAGATAAAAAAACTTTAATGAGATTATTAATCTCATTATTCTACTACTCTACATAGATGAAATGCTCACTTTGGTAAAAAATCAATTTGATGTGGACAGATGAGAACAAGCTAAAATTTGCAATTAAGATGAAAAATTTGACTAAATTCAAAAGTATATGAGAGATGAATATTCATAAACATTTTGAAGAAAACAAGTATAGTGTTAAGTGAAGACAAATACATTCAACGTGTGTTTGACAAGTTTAATATGTTAGAGTCTAAAGAAGTATGTATTGCTTGGCAAGCAACACACTGCATCTCAATTTCCAACCAATGTTATTGAAAAATTAAAATTGTGATCAATTGTATATGACAAAGATGTTATTAGCCTTATGTATTTGATGGTATGCACAAAATCTGATATTGCTCTAGCTATTAGAATGATAAGCATGTACATGTAATATTCAAGCAATATACATTGGAAAGCAGTGGAATGAATTTTTAAGAATTTGAAGAGTGTTGAAGATTATGACATATTGTTCCTATGATTTTGTAATAAAATATCAAATCTTTGCTAGGTTACATTGATGTTAACTGTATATAGGAAACAAGATAAGATTAAATCTACAACTTTAAGAGTATCACTATATTTACACTCAATGATGAATGCATAAGTTGGATATTTATTATGCATAAATCAATCCACAACAAAAATTAAATATGTAACAAAATTAAAAACAACAATGAAAATTATTTCGTTAAATAGAATTATTATTAAGATAAAAAATTGAAATAAAAGACTATCAATGTTGATTGTGATAGTCAAGGTGTATTAAATCTTGCTGCAAATCAAATGATGAACAGCAAAATGAAACACATTAACATTTGATATATTTGATGAGATATGCAATTTTTGATATAATGATGGAATTAGTCAATATTGATAGTAAATTCAATCCAATTCTTGTGCTTAATTAAGTCATTCATTTAGAAAGTTCCAATACATATTGTACTATTATGCAAGTTTTGCATGGAAAGCACAAGTAGACTTTACTATCTACTTTTGATACCTTCATATATTAGATTCTATCATGTTTTGATTATAGCTTAATTCTATATAGCTCAAGTTTAAAGAATAATCTATGTTACATTTCTTTCTTGATCTTTCACAAACTAAGAATACAGATTTTAAAATTTTTTGTTTTAACACCATAAACAAGAAGAAGATTGTTATTCCTGATTAAAATTTTGAATTTAAATCTAGTTAATATACAACTTGGGTTATAGTAAGATTTATACTTAATACTCATTAAGATTAATATTAACCAATCTAATATGTTAGATCTCATTGAACACATTGTAGGTATTCAATAAAGATTTTATAGATCTTGTGAACATAGCTTGAGAGTGACGAATCAAATATATTTTTTTGACATCATACTTGTGTATTTCTTTGAATATTGTAGACGTGTTGATGAAATGCATTTGTACTATCACAAGGAAGATTGACAGCTTTATGTTTCAATACTATTTTGATGAAAAACTTGTTCAGCAAAATAGCTTTCTTTATTACTTTTGTTGTCGCTATATATTTTGCTACCATTGTGAATTGAGCTACACAATTCTACAAAGTATATCATCAAAAATATCATTCATCATCGAGTATAAACACAAAAGTAACAACAATTAAAAAGATAACAAAAAATTTATTTTAAATGAAAATTTTTGTGTTTCTAAAATAAATTTGGATAAAATTTTTGTAGTATGATTTTCACATTGTAACCATCTTTTCTTAGTTGAAAATAAATTAGAGTTTATTCAAGATGCAATTATAGTTACTTCAGAGTGCACTAGATAAAGTTGCCATAACAGCTATCCATGTACTTGATAGGTAGAGGATAGATGTGTTAGTGAACTGTATCGTTTTAGTGCTTATCAGGATTATCCGTCATGTCGATGGAATGAGATATTATCTCTTTGTATTTGTGGATAAGATCTATATGAATAAGAGTAGAACCAACTTCATTTCAGATTTTATATTTTCATTTTTGATTGACTTCTCTCTAAATCCTAGTGTTACATATGCATGTGAATTATATTCATGAAAACTTTTAAGTTATCAATTTTTACGCATACAATTTGTTATATCTATTTTATCATATGAAATATACGTGTATAACAATTATATCTAAACAATTTTCTATAAAATTCAGTTTTCATTTTTTATTAATCCAAATTTTTTTATCTTAAGAATTTATCATCATGCAAAGTGGAAATATTTTTCTATTTTATTTCAATATATTTTCAAGTACTTTTTTGTTTCATTATTGTTATTTTTTACTCTTTATCAATTCTGACTCATAATATTTTTATTATTTTCAACATGTATCATGACCACGTATGTTATTGGGAAATCATAACAATTTATTTTTGAATTTCAAGTTTAGTATCTTATGCACATGATTTGAGTATATTAAAAC